TTCTTTTCCAACTGACCCAAAACTGAAAGACGGAAACTTTACTCATGGAATGCAGATTCCTACACTAAACTGATTGGAGACCCACTTTCCTGTCTACAGATAATAAACTCAGCCTTGCAACAAAATCACAAGTGCATGTAAGCTTAAAAATCATGAAATACCAGAAAGACACAGTTCGTTGTATCAGTCTCTTTATGTAAAAAAAATTGCCTTTGGCAAATACTTATTATACTTTGGATTACTGTACTTTTGATATCTTTGTCCCCTAGCCCCTCTGTGTTGTTGCTGCTTTCTTTACCTTGATCTCTGGACTTTTTACCCTAAATTGGAACATATTGAAGTTTGTTTAGTTGAATCCTTTTCAGAAGTCCTTTTTTTTATGCTTCATAGTATGGGGTGCTTTGTTCAGGCTATGCAAGGCTTTATTTTAATGCTATTTACACCATATATGGTTAGTTTAGAAATAGCAATCACAAGCAGCAGAAAATTGCATGCTATGCAACAGAATGTATCTGATGATTTGACAATAGCTAATATTAGGTTGGAAAGTAAACCAAGCATGTGATTAGTATTTTGTAAAATTAGCTGGATTGATGGTGCTAATATTCAAATTGACTAATTCATTTAAAATGTAGAAAAAATAATGCAGGCAATAAAGACTAAATATGGAGTGATGAAATCTAACCGAAGCAAAATGTATGTGATACAGTTAATCACATAGCTAGAGTGGTGCAAGTGGTGCCATGGAAACTAAACCAGTAAATTGAATTAGGGAAAAGAAAGCCCAGAGACAAAACACTGAACATTTAGGATGCGTTTCAGATCCGTTTCTTAACTGCACGGTTTTGAAGGGTGCAATCTCCAGCAAAAAAAACACTTTTATCTTTTTTTACAGTGTTGTAAGCAAGCAATGATTGACGTTTCAACATGGCTTTCTAAACACTCTTCAAGGTTACTGTCAAACACCAACCTTTTTTTTGCTTTGCAGTAGTCCTTTGAATTATACAAACTAGCTTATGTTTTTTGTGCATGGTTTCTAGTGACTGTTAGAAACAGTTTAATAGCATTAATGGCAATGTCCTTCTCTGTCATTTTCTCCTTGCCGGGGGATAGCTTGCAGTTTGGCAGACCAGGGTGGGGCAGGGAATTCCAGACGGGAACTGGATGAATGGATTGACATACATTCAACTGAAATAAATCAGTGTATTCAATCATACATAAAATACCACCATCTTTGTACGTTTGTTAAAGAGTGAGTGCCAAGAAATGTTGCCATTTTAAAGCAGCATTCGCAGTATTTGGACACATCTGAGTGATCCATGCATTCTTCCCTCCCCCCAAAAAAAACTGGAGCAAACATGGTTGGAATATACAGTAAAATTCATATAAATCTGATCGTACATTCACCCGCTGCTTGTCCAGCATTGTCCTAGCTGGACAAGCAGCGAGAAAGCTTGCCAGACTGCAATATCAATGGCAAGCTATTCTGTTTTAGCTGGTTAGACACCAACAATCACCCCAACGCACACTCTGGGATTCTCAGGCCTTGGGTCTTGTCAAGGAATTAGGTAAGCAGGACGCATCCCTCCATGACGAGAGTGCACATTCCATTCGAACAATCTATCTCTGGGATTTCCATGCGTAGGTGGGATGCATGGAAATCCCAGTTTGGTTTGGATACTCTTAATCATGGTGATGGGTTTCCACATGTGCCAGACACCCAGCTGACCACTCAAAAAAAATACCACATGCACAGTGCGGTACAGTGTACTCCATTGAAACAAGCACAGAAAGTAAGGTACTTGTTTGCTTTATGTGTTGATTAAAATCTGGCTTATGCAAGTTTGCCTGAAACTTCATTAAATGGTCATTAAATGGTCCCAACTGATATGACGTACGTAAGTTTTACTGTACTATAATACTTGATACAGCTAATCCAATTACTACAAGAGACCTTTAGAATTTTAACTTTGAAGTAGAATGTATTGAAGTAGAATGTAGAAAGATTATTTCAGTCAACTTCTTCCATTCAAGATGTATCATCATCATCTTCTAATGGTGGCATCTCTTCTGGTGGGGGGGTGAATGCTGACATTTTTGATGACTCTAATGGTGATTGGTACAAGTGCTAAAGTCATTAAACATTGTGTCATTAATTTAATTCTTTTTCTAAACTGGATAAATTCATGTTGTCAGAATTTCTGGAGCTTCACGGTATCTATTGACTGTTGCAACTCAGCCTTTCACTCTGGAATAGGATTTCAACAATGTATCGTAAAAATGAATAGATATTCCTTTGTGATTGTGGATTTATTTACAATGTTGAACAAACGTTTTGAGCTTCTGCGGTTGTGCTTTGGTTTCCCACGTGCTTGTCTACGCCTTTTCTGTGGCTGTGTTTGCACCACATATTTTTTTGTTTTATGTTAAGTACTTGCCTCAGGGTTGGAAGCCTAATTTAGTACACTGGTGGCAGAAGCTGAAATTGAAGGGCTTAGCCTCTGCGGAATCTATAGAGCCTGGTGTATAATCAGTGACCTCTGCTGTGCCCTGCCTGCAATGTCGCTTGTGGAGTTATTTCCTGACGTTCCTCAGAAATATCTGGTGTGGGTACCCTGAGAGGCTTTCACCTGGAGGGCAACCGCATTGGTTTCCATGCTTGAAGGCTCCAGCCTCTCATTTTGCCAGAGTGATGACTTATTAATTTTGCATGAAGCATTCAAACAATTGCTTATTTTTTAACTCTATAGTATATATTATATTTGCTGGTGTGAAATTACTTACAAATATTGTATTTGAACTCTGTCCGGTATGTATCTGGGCTGTAAAGATCCTTAACTAGAAAGCCAATCCAAATGATTCAAAGGCCTGTACAATCCTTTAATTGCCTTTTTTGTGAAAAAATTGTATTCCAAATTACTGCAGATGTGTTTTATGCAAGTTTGTGACCACCTGGTGATTTTTTTTAAATTTGCTGTCAGGCTAAGCAGCTGCCTGGTTATGGGATTGAAAGGGCAGCATTAAAACTGGTCTGCACTGATCATTTTCAAGATAAGTTTCAGACCAGTGCAAGTTTGAAATTGCTAACTTGTTAGAACAGATGTTAGGGTGTTCCATAACAGGTGGTAGGTTTTTCTAATCAGTTTCGGGTCAAGATGCAACTCCTTTATACACTGGGGCATTGAGTCTGATAAAATTAAGCCAATTTGTAAAATGTCTCAATATTTGCCACCTGCGATAAACCTACTTTATTTAATCAATGGAATGGAAAGAATTTCTGGATCTGGCTTATTTTCTGATGGGTTAAGATGAGATGGTGGTTCATGATTTACTATTCAATGCATTTATCATGAAGTTGTCTTTGAAAAGTTGATTTAATATCTGAATATATTTTCGCCCACAAAATACACAGTCTTTGTCTTTCCACTTTGCAATACGTTCTGTGAAGTGTTTTGAGACGTCTCAATGACGTAATAAGGTGCTATATCAAACGCAAGGATTATTATAATATTGTAAAAAAAAAGGTTGCAATGGCTTTCTAGGAAATTCTGGGTATGCACACTTTGGGAATTGCTTATGCATTGCACAAAATTCATTTCAGTGTTGTGTTTTATTTGAGAAATGAGAAAAGGTACGTTTGACTGCAATGTTGCATACACAAAAAAAATCATGTTTACAGAGTAGCCCCAAAATATGAATGGGCTGTTTGGCTGCTCACCAGTATGCGAGTGAGAACTGAACTGTAATTTTCCCACACTGTGCACCACTCTTGGCCTATGGATGACCTGCACCCAGTGTGCCTCCAAGCAACGTTGCCTCCTTTCAGCGGGTCTCCTAGTGGCAGGGCTGAGAACAGGGACAACACTTTCGATTTATCCATACTCTGTATACTGTCGCTACTGAGCGAATTGAGATTTTTTGATACGTTATCACATATGATATCGGAGCTACTAGCACCACAATCTTGAATCTAGGTCTTTGCTGATATTTGTAGAGCACCTCAATCCGCTATTTATAACGGCTTGCAGTTTTCCTAACTCAGTTTGAAAGCATTTTTTTTGTTTTGCAAAATTGGTTTTAGTTTGTTCCACCTGAAAATAATGGCTGCTTCAATATTATACTGCTACCTGCAGATAGGAAATTGCTGAATTTCACAGGGGGGAAATTGCTTTCCCCATTGAATTTTTATAAGCGAGGTGAAATGTTTCAAATCCGCTGATTCAGAGCTCTTCCATGGGTTTTCCTTTGTAAATCATTTGTCTCATTGAGGAAACAAAGTAACTTAAGGAAACAACAAAAGTAATTTCAAGTGACTTGAAAGCTACGTTGGTCTTCTGACCCCTTTTTTAATCATTTTTTTGGTTTAGTTTCCTCTGATTCAGCCTACTTCCGTTCCGCTTCAGAACCTCCTCTCCTATTCCGTGCCTTCTGACCTTGTAGACTAAATCTCCTTTGTACCTCTGTGTCGCGCTTTGCTACAGCCTAACTATATAACCTCAATTTATATTCTCCTTGTCAACTGGGTCAAATTATTTTCTCTCTCTCTAAGAAGCCTAATATACTTGTCATGCAGCAGAACCTCACTCCCATTCTTTGGGAGAATCATGTTGATTCCATCTGATTCCTTTTCGCCCACAAAATATCCAGTGAATTCACTTTACAATGAATTCTGTGAAACGCTGAGACATCTCAAACATGTGATAAGGCGCTATATCAAATGCAAGGATTATTATTACACTTTTTACAGTGAATTCTGTGAAGCGTTGTGAGTTATCCGCCCGATGTAAAAGACAAATGTCAAATGCAAGGATGATGATTTCTCTAGATGCACAATTTATTGACTCCTTATCCCCCCACATTATTCCTACGTGAAGAATTATATAAATGCAAATTGTTGTCATTGTTGATCATTTGCTTTTTTTGAATTGATAGAAAGATCATGATGCTGTGAATATGTGAGTTTCGGCATACATTTAGAAATCTTATTTTTTTTGATGTAGGTTTGTTGAGTGGACGCCTCCCAATCAGCTGACACAATGGTGGCCCTTTCTCTGAAGATCTGTGTCCGTCAATGCAATGTCGTGAAGACGATGCAATTTGAACCTTCCACAATAGTGTATGATGCCTGTCGTATAATACGTGAGCGTGTACCTGAGGCTCAGACAGGACAAGGTGAATGTGGTTTGCCCTTTTTTTTTTCCCGAGAAGAAGGTGACTGGAAATAAATTGCTGATGCTATTAATTTTAATTTTAGCTAAGGCAGATTGACATTGATATTGCTGGATAAAGGGCAGACAGTTTATAGCAGCTCAAATACAAACTGAGACACATTTTATTGAATATGGTGATAACATTAACCTGGATGCATGATAATGTTCAACTGTACAATGATGCTGCAGTCTGTAACAGTGTTTGTTTAGTTCGGATTTTCTATGTCACCAATGTTAGAGACATTACGTATGTGCTGAATTTGTTTTTTTTATTTTTCTAGCATCTGACTATGGTTTGTTTCTGTCGGATGAAGATCCAAGAAAAGGAATTTGGCTGGAGTCTGGGCGCACAATGGATTATTATATGCTTCGAAATGGGGTACATTCAATTTTTTGTTCAACATTTACAGACTGCAATGGATAATTAAAATCACTGAGTTCCACATGATAAAATACTTTGCATCTGAGACTCCGAGTTTTATTTGTGAAGATGTAAGTAGTTATAAAGGCCATACTTACACAAGGCAATTGGAAATTTAAAGTACTTGTATACAGTGTTATTTGAGGCATGAAAAGAGTGATTGTATAATTAACGTTAATGAGTGGCTATAATGTGTACAATAGGAAATTGAGGTTCTTGTGCAGGTAATGCATAACATGAGGAGATAAGCAGTGATGAAACACAAATAGCGTGAGTTACTTATTTAATTAACATCAACAACTTGCATTTGCCTAGCGCGTTCACGCACGGGTAGAGTCTCGGAGCGCTGAAAGAACAATCTGTACATATAGTAGTTATCAATGTCTAAGGGGCAGGAGGAAATAATGTTCAAGCTAAAGGGGAAATTCAAAATAGGAATCTCAAATAGGATTGGGAAGTTGTTGAGGGATCAGCTTAAATCCATTATTTGGAATACATTGCTAAAATTTAACACACTTGCAGCTTGTAAAGAATTTTTGGCAGCACAAAAAAAATGGTAAGTAGAAAATAAGTAAGTAAACTGGTGGTGTGTAAATGTCTTGTAGACATGCATTTTTGGTACAAGATAACGCAACTATCATTACCAAAGTCTTCTCCAAATGCAAAAGCGAGAGACAATGAGTAATGTACGGTAGAACTTATTCCTGACAAAAGCAGCAATGTAATTTGTTTTAACCATCGGCTTTAGGCGAGTTTAAAAAAAAAAGGGCTGTTTTAGGCAAGTAATAATGTTACAGAATATAGATTGGATAATTGCAGAGGCTTTAAATATTGTTGGGTCAAAGGGCCTTACTCATTCCATGCCTATTTTTTCTGTTTAGGATGTATTGGAGTACAAGAAGAAACAAAGACCACAGAAAGTACGAATGCTGGATGGTGCAGTAAAAACTATAATGGTGGATGACTCCAAAACTGTTGGGGAACTGCTAGTTACTATATGTAGTAGAATAGGTATGTATTGACTTTAATCTCTGGTTTAAAAAAAAATGCTGATTTTTTTTAACGTGTGCAATTGTGACTTATTTTTAAAAATTGCAACATTCAATGACTCTTTTATTCATTAGCTGGAACACTTTTTTAATGAAGATAAAACCGCTATCAGATGGAGCATTTATCAAATCTAGATTCAATGTACTGATTCTACAGGATTTTATTGTTGAATGCAAACAATTTACTTTCCAATGGTGCTTGGTTGAAATGTGATTTTGTTTTCTAACATATTTCTCATTGCACTAGTTTTTTTTTGTGTATATCAGTACTGTGTATAATCTACCCAAGGTTGATCTGAAACTGGTGATAATTGACAAGCAGGAGGAAATGTGACTTTGTTTTTGATTTTTAAACCTAATAAGTCAATGTCAATTAATAATAGCTAACATTTTTCATTTCAGGTATTACAAATTATGAAGAATATTCTTTAATTCAAGAAACCACAGACGAGAAAAAAGAAGATGGAACCACTACATTGAAAAAGGACAGAACGCTTTTGCGAGATGAAAAAAAAATGGAAAAATTGAAAGCAAAGCTTCACACAGATGATGACTGTAAGATGCTTGTTGACCAAAACCTATTCAGAAACTGATTCTACACTGCTAAATACATATTGGTGAAGTCAGAAAAAAAATAGTTTGGAATAAATTACACTGAATTTCACCTAGGCAAATAATAATAGTAATAAACTAGAGAATTTAGGAAGTAAAGAGATGAATCTCAAATTTAGAATCTAGAAGTAGAAGCCTAATGCCTTAAATTCCTGCAGATTTAAATTGTAAGTCAAGTAACTTTGTAGATTGATCAGAGTTTTCGAAGTATCCTTTTCAGCACGTCTAGTTACACATGTGTGGCTCTATATGCGAAGAGAAAACCATGGCTGCATTTTATAATTATGTTGAAAAAGCCAGTAATAATCCCTGTTGGGTTTTTTTAGGAACAAATTCCAGGCAACCTTTTATGTGTTAATAGCTATGCTGTTCAGGAAGTGGAGTTGTTTTCTTGTCCACTTCCATTCTCGATCACTATAATGTAGGGAGTATGCAGCTGTGCCTTCAGTGCACAGAATCCTTCCATGCTTAATTGAAGGCTTTCTTCATCTGCAAAGAGGTTATAGATTTGTACGGGACTAAACTTACAAGACTAAAATTGAATTATTTTATAAATTCTTTTTTTGGATTTTTTTTACCATTATTTGTGTATTTTTCTTATGTATATGTTAAAAATAGCAATCGTGATCATCTTATATCAAACGTTCTTTTGTTGACTTGTTAAAAATTTCTCTTATTAACAGCAGTTCACAACCCTGACTCAAATGTCTGAGGTAATCTCGCAGCAAATTGCTTTTGCAAGAAAATAAAGATAGAAGTGTTTATAAAGCAATGTGTGTAATGTTGACTGTTATGTTCTTTGTGTCTCTGACAGTGAACTGGTTAGATCATAGTCGAACTTTCAGAGAACAGGGAGTTGATGAAAACGAAACTCTGCTTTTAAGACGGAAGTTTTTCTACTCTGATCAAAATGTGGACTCCAGAGATCCAGTTCAGCTGAATCTGCTCTACGTACAGGTATGAACAATACCTTTCTCTTTTTGCTCTTTAATAGTGCCAACAATATTCTGTTTCCAACCTGATATAATATTTTTTCACTGTAAATGTCGGAGCTCCAGGCAGCCTCCAACGTCAATCCTAAGGGGCTGTTGTTCATGTGCCAGTCTAACAACAAATGTTCAGCAGGCAATTCATTGCCATCAAGCTGCATCCTGACCTCACTTGACATCTACATGTTTATCTCTAACCAGGTATCTGATCAGGGCCGATAATGATGTCCCAAAGGCCAAACATGTGCATATGTTTACTAAGCAAGTTATGAATGAAGTCAATTAAAAATTCAGCCACTGGGAACAGTTTCCTTTTGTAATTCCTTTTTTCTTAGGCCAGGGATGATATTCTCAATGGATCCCATCCAGTTTCCTTTGAAAAAGCCTGCGAGTTTGGTGGAATTCAGGCACAAATCCAGTTTGGACCGCATGTTGAACACAAGCACAAACCTGGATTTTTGGAGTAAGTTCCACTTTTAATCTAATAATTTTTCAGGTAATTACAGATGTGACACTAACGTTAAGCATTTGCTTTGATACAATTTTCTAGTCTGAAAGAGTTCCTGCCCAAGGAGTACATTAAGCAGAGAGGAGCTGAAAAGAGGGTATTTCAGGTACGTACCTTCACATAAAACAAATTCTAATGCTTGTGAATACAAGACCTCAGCTGTTTATAATGTGATGGAAATCTTGCATTAGGAGCACAAGAACTGTGGCGAAATGACAGAGATCGAAGCAAAAGTCAAATACGTAAAATTGGCCCGATCTCTCCGAACCTACGGTGTATCATTCTTTTTGGTAAAGGTAAGAAAATCTTCCATTGCATCAGTAATATTATCTTCCACTTCTCTCACTTGCTTCCTTAGAACTTTTCACAAAATTGAGAGGTGTGTTCCAATGAAGAAGACCCTTTAACCTATTTGATCTCAACTTTACAGAATACAAACTTTAACATCTAAAATAGCATCAAACTGTGTCTTGAATAAGTCCAATGTCCTGATCTCAACCACCCTTTGCAATAATCATTCCAGTTTTTGAATACCATCTGTGCAAAGAAATGCTTTCTGGTATTTACCCACAAATTTGCTCTTCACACCCCTGATCCCGTGACCTCTTGTCCTGCTGCCGTGTCGTATCTGAAAGCATTGTTTTCTATGATGGGACTTTGCTGTGTGAAAATCGCCTACAAATGCACAGTCACTCCACTTTACAGTGGATCCCCAACATGAAAAGCGCTACATCAAATGCAAGGATTATTATTTTGTTTTCTGTCCAGCATCTTATACCTTATGTGAAAGGTCCCCTCTTGCATACCTCTTTTGAGACTGCAGAAACTTAACTTGATGTTGTTCCTCACAGTTCATCCTGCAACAGCCTCATTATTTAATAATTATTTGCCTCTGAAATACCCCCTTGTTCTTGTTTTAAGGCAGTCAGATTTGTACACAGTACTTTAGGAGCAGACTAACAAGAGCATGTTATGTTAAAGTGGTATTCTGCAATTTTCGTTGTATATTTACTCTTAGGAAAAAATGAAGGGCAAGAACAAATTGGTTCCTCGACTTTTGGGTATAACTAAAGATTCAGTATTGCGTGTGGATGAAAAGACAAAAGACGTGATACAGGAATGGCCCCTGACAACAGTGAAACGTTGGGCAGCTTCTCCAAAAAGCTTCACTCTGGTAAGATGCCGGGTGAAATGTTGGGCAAGTTTCTTAACTCCACATGCTTGTTTCCCTATCGATAAGTTGGAACCTGGTTGTTAGTCGATTGGCGGATCGCTTTTCCATGGGTAATAATTCCTTAAAAAATAATAATAAATTGGTCACTTCAATCCCCGACTGTTGTGGGCCACTGCTGTGCGTAATCGGCTGCCACATTTCACCCACAAAATATACAGTTACTACACTTTATAGTATATTCTGTGAAGCGCTTTAAGAGATCTTGAAGATGTGATAAGATGCTCTATCAAATACATGGTTTATTATTATTACCTGTTTCCTGGAATCATTTTGTAGTTTACAATTGAACTGTGTGGTTCTGTGGGTCTCTTTGAGTGTTCTCTTCAATGATGGAGTTGACAATATTTTCTCTCCCCAAATCTGGTCTCCAATGGGTGGTGTTGCTTGAAGGGAAGCAATCTCCTCACAAGTGGGATTCATTGGAAGCCTTTGCAATATTTGCTGGGAGCAAGTACTTTTCTTTTTACTCTTGGTATGTTATCTGTCTCTTTAAATGTTAAAATTGATTCTGGGTCTACAGCCATCTGAGGCAACGCATTCTGCATTCTCACAACCCACAATGTGAAGAAATGCTTTCTGATCTGTGAGGTCTAAACGATGTGCCTTCCTTTATTTGCGTAGGATTTTGGAGAATATCAGGAAAGCTACTATTCAGTTCAGACTACTGAGGGTGAACAAATCTCACAGCTAATTGCTGGCTACATTGATATTATCCTGAAAAAGGTAAGTGTTAGGTTTAATGAGCAACGTTGACGTGCATGAACAATAAAATCAAAATCCACGCTGTCCGTCAAGACAGAAAGTAGAATTTGACCGGCAGAAGTTAGTTGCTGGGAATTTGTTCCCTATTAATTACATATGTGATGGATTCACCTCCCCCGTTTTGTTGACTAATCTTGGTGACTGTCCTTGGTGATATCCTGTACTCTGGACTGTTTCCCTTGATCTAAATGTCAACAAACAGGTAATGAGTGATCTAAACGGGATTGTGTATGTTAATCAACTGAAGTATTGATTTTTTTTAAAAAAGGGTTGAAAGCTTTAAGAATACGATTAAAAGAAATCGTGAACTCACTCTACGCAATCAATTTTTGTTACATTCAGGGAAGAAAGTGAATTTAAACTTCATTTTTACGTAAAGTATTTCTGAAAATGCCTTCAACATTATTCTTGCTGAATAAAGTTACAGAAAGTTTCAGTAAAAAAAGGTATTTTATCTGAAGGTTCCCCTTTTATGAGTGTCAGCTGGTATTTTGGAAGTAATTCGAAATTTCTTCAAACCCTGTCGCACAGTTGTTTTAATAAACTGTACATTTCAACAAGCAGATCTTTTTACTCTGAATTGTTCTGAAAGTCGCTTGTAATTCCCCCTCTCTCGTTTACAACAACAACAACAACAACTTGGATTTATGTAGCCCCCTCCACGCCGGACGGCATCTCAGAGTGCTTTATTGGTGTGGAGTCCTGTAGCTCAGTGGTTAAGAGCACTCGCCTGGCAAGCGAGAAACATGGGATTCCCGGGCATAGTGAAACATTGGACAAGTTTCTTTATTCCACACACTCCACACTCTGTTTACTTAGCAGTAAAAAAGAACCTGGTTGTTCGTCGATTTGGCAGATCGCTTTATCGGGGGTAGTAATTCCTTCAAAATAATTTGGTCACTCAATCCACGACTGTTTGTGGGACACTGCTGTGTGCATGCGGCTGCCCACAAAATATACAGTCAATTCACTTTACAGTATTTTCTGTGAAGCGCTTTGAGAAGTCTAGAAGACGTGATAAGGCTCTATATCAATGTGAGGATTATTATTATTAGATTTCACTTCAAACTTTATCTGAGGTTTAAGAATAGCTCTCCTGTTGATCAAGAGTAACTGTGAGTATTGTAATTCTCTAGCAGAATATGGTGCTCATCCTTTTCACACTTTCTTAATTTTTGTAATGTTCTCACATGCTTTCACCTTTTTTGCAGAAACAAAGTAAAGACCGATTTGGCCTTGAAGGAGATGAAGAATCAACAATGTTGGAAGAATCAGTTTCTCCAAAAAAGTAACACAATTTAAAATACTGCATTAAGTTGCTCAAAACAGCGATACCAATGAATGAATAACAGTACAGAGTAGCTGGTTGCACATTAACTTAATTTAATTCTCTCGATATCTTGCAATCATTTCTTACAATTCAAAAACTTGGCAGGTCTGGAGAATTGCAAACAGTATATGGGTACATTTGGATGTTTGTTATCGTATCGATGCTCATGAGTATAAAGCAATCTTTGTTTCATAGTATGAATGTAAGTGACTTAAAAATCAGTGTTATTGATCTAGTGTCCAGTAATGTACCTAGAACTAACTGTTCCATGCCAAAAACCTCATTGATTCTGAAATGGCACTATTCCCATGGCACTATTCGAAAAGAGAAGGGAGATTCTCCCAGGGTCCTGGCCAGAAATCCCCCAAATAAAATTGGTCAATCCGTGGGTAGTTGGTATTGCTAAATGTTAACTTCCCAAATAGACGAGTCTGAAAAGCACACTGAGGTTATTTAATATAAAAGCTCTATGAAACAATACTTCATTTATCAGCATTCAACTTTTACCACATCTCTGCTGAATTATCCCACTTGCTTACTTTCAATATACAGAAGGTGTCCCAATGCCTTGACTCATAAAGCCATATATTGGGGTGAAGAATGTGATTCACTGGTGATAATTATCACATTTTTAAGCTATTTTTAAATATGTACACTAATAAGACTCTCCTTCCTGTCTCAGATCTACAATTTTGCAGCAACAGTTTAATAAGACTGGAAAGGTGGAGCATGCATCTGTTGCATTGCCAGCAGTAATGCGTCCTGGAGCAGGTGGACCAGAGAGTTTTAACATGGGAACAATGCCCGCTCCTCAGCAACAGGTTCTCAGTGGACAAATGCACAGAGGTCACATGCCTCCACTGGTGAGGAATTCTAATTAACGGGAGGATATTTGCAGTGGTTAATGTCATTGATTTTGAAATGAATAATTCAGTTGTTAATCAGTTATTAATTAATGTTTGGGAAATGGGTCTAAATGCTGATTATGCATACGGCGAGATATTGTAGAAATCCTATGGGGTTTTTTTTTGTGTGCTGGATTTGGATTTTTTCATATTTTTTTAAAAAAAAGTTTTAACCATATGCCTGTAATCATTTATTTAATCGCTGTTTTAAAGTGATGAAAATGCATTTTACTTTCATATGAAAAGATGATATTGCTTTCATTTTAACCTGTTCTGTCATTCTGCCCTGTGTAACAGACCTCTGCACAGCAAGCTTTAATGGGAACCATTAATTCCAGTATGCAGGCAGTACAACAAGCCCAGTCTGATCTAACCAAAGTAGATGATTTACCTCCCCTGGGACGTGACCTGGTGAGTCCACTTAGATTTGGTACCCGTTTTTAAGGTTAATTTTGCATCCTACATATTGCACAAGTATTATTGAATCAAGGTCACGAATAAGAACGTGATCTATGGTAAACTTTTTCATTGAAAATTTGATGTAAACTTCTCAGAATGACAGGAAAATGTTATAGGTCTGTAATTTGAACTTTACACCAACACACCTCTCTCTCATAGACAGATCATTGTGTGTTGTTCTACCGATTTGTAACTACATTGTTTGTATTTTTCTTAGGCATCCAAGGTGTGGGTTCAGAACAAAGTTGATGAGTCAAAACATGAGATTCACTCACAGGTCGATGCAATCACTGCAGGCACTGCATCTGTTGTCAATCTCACAGCTGGTGAGTTAGAAGAAAACACATTATTTTTAACGAGATTTTGATGGGTCAAATGTTTACAGAATACAGTAGAATCCCATTTTCAAATGGTAGTTGGCATACGTACAATCATAACCCCACTTATAACTGAGCCCAATCTCTGGTCAGAGCTTCTGAATTCACTGTGCATACGGACAGAAAGTCAGCTGGAGGTTTGAAGTGAGACAACGCAATTTTTGAAGCTTTTCTGCTTGCATGTCAGGATCCACACCCAAATCATACTATCGGCAAATTGAGTTATAAAGAAACATGTTAGAATGCTGTTGTAATTTGAGCATGAATTTTTCCTGAACTATTTTCAAAATAATTGTTTGAAATCAAAAGTCAGCATGATCTAGATTTACTTATTCGCTACCTTTTCTGCTGATTTAGCAGAAACATTGAACATGTTTCCAAGCAGCAATCTTTAAATATTTACTTTACAAATAGCACTTGCACTTTGTCATTTTAAATACAGAATTGTTACTTAAATTATTCCATTTTGGCTTCATTTCAAATTACTGTGTGCCAGGAGAAGTTGAGTAAATGTGACCTTATTTGAGTAGTAAATGAAATGGAGACATAACCGCAGACTTCAATTGGTGTGTCTCTACTCTGTCTCCATCCCATGCATATTCAATCGATAGGTCTGGAGATCCAACATCACTGTCCAAGATAGTTTCAATCTATTATTACATTTATAACTGTAAATCTCTGAGGTCCAATCCAAGTGAATACACTGCAAGTAATAATCCTTGCACTAATGCATTAGATATATTGCTTTACACGTCAAGAGCATGCCTCAAAGTGCTTCCCATAATTACAGTAAAATGTAGTGAATGTGTATATTGTAAGTAAATGCTGCAGCTAATTGGCACACAGTAATGTCCCACAAGCAGCCATGAAGTTTATGACAAATTTTATTAGGGGGGATTGTTGCACAGGGGACCAGGAGAAACGTCTTTCTCTTTTTGAATCTCTTCTCAAATTAATTTCCCTACAGTAATAAAACATCTAAGGCCTTTATTTTTTGCACAGATTTTCACACATGTTACATGTAGGGCACTGCATTGTTATTTCCCATGTAGAGAGGAGTGAATGATCTAGGAATAGTTGCTCAAAATATATATAATATATTGTCAAAATGTTTTGGAAATGGCTACGCAGATAAATTTTATTATAGCCTTGAACCTGAAGAAATGAATTGTACAGTATTTGAATTTTCACCAAATGTAATATTACTGTCCCTTAAGGGGAAGGGACAAGAAATATCCAATTGCATGAGTTTTAGTAAAGTTGCGTGCCAAGTACAATGTCAAAACTGAAATGTGGCATTTTGTTGCGACTCCAGGTGACCCAGCGGACACAGACTATACCGCAGTTGGATGCGCCATTACAACCATTTCCTCCAACTTAACTGAAATGTCGAAGGGAGTGAAAATGCTGGCTGCATTAATGGACGATGATATTGGAAGTGGTCAGGACCTTATGCGTGCTGCGAGAACATTAGCTGGCGCTGTGTCTGATCTGCTGAAAGCTGTGGAGCCTTCATCAGGAGAGGTGAGCTGAGAGCAAAATTCCAGGGGTAGATATCATTTTCACCCATTTGCAAAATCGACCCTTGTGTTTTCTGTCACATTAATATCGGCAATTTGATCCTGTCAGTTTTTAGTGCTGAATGTTATGAAGTAAAATCGGGTAAATGTTTAACGATAAGAGCTTTTATTCGCTTTGCACTCTCTCCGAAATAACTGCAAAATCGTAAATCTGATTTGTTTTGACCACAAAAGCATTGCTTCCTGTCCTGCCCAAGTGGCTGTTCTTAAATGTATACCTACTCAATGAGTGTAAGTGGTATTACAACAGCATTATAACACGTTTCATTAATGGACATCAATATTGAGCCCAAGTGTGTCTACACACATACAATTTCCAATGGGAGTTACCAAACAGCAGTCTCAGTGAAAAGACTGGCTTTGATTTTCAGGGCATTGCATTGTAGTCGTCCCACCACTGTTTCTGTATCTGAGATAAATTATCCAGTCCAATCAGGGTGGGAGGAGGAGTATTATATTATGCCACATACTGGATAGGATATTTACTGATTGAGCCAATGTGTGGCTTTTTTTTAAACCAAAAAAAAAGTGTATTTTGTCATAAACACACATTGTGTGTTTGATTTGCAGCCTCGTCAAACTGTCTTGACAGCAGCAGGAAGCATTGGACAAGCTAGTGGTGACCTTCTCCGACACATCGGAGAGAGCGAAACTGATGAACGTTTTCAGGTATGAGAAACTAGTCTGTAAACACACGCCTGCTCACACAAGGCCTGTTTTGAACCAATTAAATCCTTTTACTTATTGTTCCAACCTCCAAAATGGATAGAGGGTGCTGGGAGATAGAAGCAAGACCATTAACGTGATTTTAAAAAGATTAAAAATAAATTTGGAATTAACGGGGAGAGAAAAGGGACAAATAGGGAAGAAGCAAGAATAGGAGGAAAAAAGAGATGTTAGAGTAAGCCTAAGTAATTTTTTTCCTTAAATAAAAGTGCATTTTAAGTAGTGTTTATGATATAACTTTTTATTAGTTTAAGGCTTGATCTAATGGTCACTTTTATAGAGGCTATAAACACAAGTACAAACTCCTAATTTTATTTATTGAATTCTATGGAATATCAGGTCAGGCCATGTTAACAAACAATCTTTTGAAAGTGTAGAATCACATTTCATGTTTGGAATGGTGGAATGAATCATCTTGTTGCTAACTTGATTTCGCTTGTTTCAGGACGTCCTGATGAGCTTGGCCAAAGCTGTTGCCAATGCTGCTGCTATGCTTGTCCTGAAAGCTAAAAATGTTGCTCAAGTGGCTGAAGACACCGTTCTTCAAAACCATGTCATTGCAGCTGCTACCCAGTGTGCACTTTCCACATCTCAGCTGGTCGCGTGTGCAAAGGTAACTGTTCACAGCAACGCTTCAAAAGCTCCAGAAAGCAATCTCCTTAGAATGCTGATGGAAAACAAAATATAAGTCTACTAAATACAAAACTTTTCTACGAGATGTTTTCTAATCGTAACTAATCTACATTCATGTCTTATCCTTGATACTCACTGATGTTTGTTTGTAAAGGATTCTCTTGTGTGGTGCTTAATCGGAGGCTTTGATCATCCTCTCCTGATGTTTTCTATGATCCTGGCTGAAGCTCAAACATTAACGAGATCAATTACTGTTAGGTTGATGTCCATGTTTTTTTTAATGAGTAACATTGACTATTAGTTCTGCAAAATTAAATTGATTCAATTGTATTATGAGCACAGGCCACCATTAATTTCTAAATGTGATTTAATTACTTAAAGCCTGATGGAATGCGCCTGTCTATTTGTATTGGATATATTGCGCTCTCCTCCAGTTTCAGATTAATTCTACTTTTTTTGCTCTTGTTTGGCATGGTATAGGTGGTCAGTCCAACCATCAGCTCACCTGTTTGCCAGGAGCAACTTGTTGAGGCTGGGAAGCTGGTAGACCGTTCAGTCGAGGGCTGTGTCAAAGCTTGCCAAGCTGCAACTGACGATGGTGAGCTGCTGAAACAGGTTAGCGCAGCAGCCAGTGTGGTCAGCCAGGCTCTGAATGATCTCCTACAGCATGTCCGCCAGTATGCCAGCAGAGGAGAACCCATTGGCCGTTATGACCAGGCAACGGACACGATCATGACAGTTACGGAGAGCATATTTAGTTCAATGGGTGATGCTGGTAAGTTGAATCACTGCTCAATAGCGTGTCTTGGGTTATGTGAAAAGTGCCACATGAGTGTAAGTTTGTATTGTTTTGGGAGTATGTGTGTGTGTGTGTGTATGGGGGGGGAGACTTCCTCCCTCCGAACTTCTGCTTTCCCAGGAAGGAGGTGGAATTTATTGCCAAGTTTGATTCAACATTCTGCTTGAGGTATATTGAAAACAAACTGTTTTGTTTCTTATGCTGCTAACATGCAGTATAAAATGTGCTGTAATACAATTGCCACCAAAAGACCAAACTGAATATTTGCATTACTTGATGTTTAGATAGTCAGCTTTTTTTATTTTGTCAACACACTGATATATGAGGCAATTTCATCGCTCCCTTAGCATGTTTGATTATTGGATTTAACAGGAGTACATAGATATTTGTTAGGTCAGGGTTTTAAGGGATATGGGGCAAGGGCTGGTAACTGGACTTGAGGTACAGATCGACCATGATCTTATAAAATGGTTGAACAGGCTCGAGGGGCTGAAGAGCCTCCTCCTGTTTCTATGAGTAAGCTTAATCATAATCAGTTACAGTGTGTGGTAATAATGAATTGCAATTTGGGTTGCACAGGTGAGATGGTTCGCCAGGCTCGAGTCTTGGCCCAAGCAACGTCTGATCTGGTCAACGCTATGAGATCTGATGCAGAGGCCGAGAGCGATGTGGAAAATTCCAAAAAGCTTCTGGCAGCTGCCAAGCTCCTCGCTGATTCCACTGCTAGAATGGTTGAAGCTGCAAAGGTAGTTTCCGCTTGTTAAGACGGCCTAAGGGTTTATGTGGTCAGAATAGTTTATTTTATAGATAAGTTGTAAACGTTGTGAGTTAGCAAAAAGGCCAGTATTAAAGTTCTGTTTATCTTGGCAAAGCATTGTGTTGATACACTGATTGCTACATAATTGACTTACGTCGAGATTTATTTTAAACATGGTGAGAGTGTTACATTTTATTTTTTTTAAATGCTGCAGTATAATGTACTTGAACATGCTCAAAAATACCTCTTCCTCTCCCATTCCATCATAAGAAATTGGTGCAGTAGTTCTAAGGTGGAATCTAAATTAACAACTGTTGTAAAACAAATTGCCCAGACTTTATAGGAGCCTGAGAACAGGAGTTGACCATTTGACCCATCGATCCTGTCCTGCCATTGTAATTACATGATGGCAGGTCCTTTACATTCCAGTCCAGGGCTGCGGTCAAAAGAATGGAATTGTTCTCTCCGGCATCTGGTCGTTTTGCTCATCGTTTGTGTGTCGAGCATCAAAGGATGAAAATGAGTACTTGCTGTGGCAAGGCTTGCAAGTGTTGATATGGCCCTATTCCATTTCTCCCCCTCTCCAACGCTAAACTTTTCTTCCCTGGCTTTTTATTTTATCTCCTGAAGGCAGCGACTCCTACTGGTGTATCACTGCACAGACAGCTGGTATCTCGTGCAAGACATTATTCATGTATGAGGCCACAGGCAGTGAGTGTCTTGTATTTGATCATAGGACTTGCCTCTATCAAGCTTGCCCTCACTTGTTCCTGCAAGGACATTCCTCGCATTGGGCGACAAGATTGCAATTAGGAAAAGAAGCTCTCACCATCATTTCCTCACCTCCCAGCCCTCGAAAGCTGAGACCGATTGTACACCCGAATGCTGCTTAACCAAGATTTGGTGGCTCTAATTGAGAGTTGCATCATATAACCCATTCTCCCATTACACCACTTATTTAATTTCAAATGGTATGATCCTCACATTCTCTTAGTAACCTTGTGTCTCCTCATATAGGGTGCAGCTGCTAATCCAGAAAATGAGGATCAGCAACAGAAGCTGAGAGAAGCAGCAGAGGGACTTCGAGTTGTTACCAATTCAGCTGCACAGAATGCCATAAAGAAAAAGTTAATTAACCGACTGGAGGTAATATCTGTGATTTCATATTGAAATTTCACAGACATGAAAGGCAAAGTAATTGTATTTTTACAAACAGTCACCATGTTCGTTTGAGACTGCTCCTTGGTGGAATTTTAACCATTAAGTGTCTTGAGTGCTTACAAAGTTTCTTCATCAGTATGCCAGTAAATTCCTCGACTATACCTGACAAAAGCATCGCTTTCCACAGATTTTTTTAAACTGTCTTAAGTAAGTAAAGTTCAAGTATAGAAAATTATCCTAACTATTATGCACCATAAATTCCATTTTGTTTGATGAAAGTCAATCGGATTTTAAAACTATTTTCTCTTGAGATTTCATTTGGGGTGAGGATTAATTCTTCAATTTTTTTGGGGGGGAGGTGGATTGTATACACATTGCATTTGAAAACAATGGAATAAACTTTTATACTGTATTTAGTTGAAATTGTTAAATATTATGTTTGTTACTTAATCCGATAGAAACTTTTTAGTGTAACATTCTGAGGCTTCCAGGATTACTGGGGAACTGTGGGTTCAAACTCCGAATTTACAACCTTGCAGTTTGTTCTCTGTGAAATTCAGGGAATTCCACGTCACAAAATATTTTCTTTGAATTGTCATTTTAACCAAGGGTGGGAATCAAATACTAATGAGTTAAAAATGGGAGGTCATTAACCTTTTTATTCACTGAGCAAAACGATCTTCGGATCTTTTGATCTGGATGAAAGGCCATCTGAAGTTATAAAATAAGTACACAATGAATGAATGCCATTGGTGTAATTTTACGTAAATGAAATGCGGAATCCCTTTGATGCCGATAACTGTGTTTAAGCAAATCTGAGGTCCTATAGTCCACTACTGTGTAATCACAAGGTCCTGCAGTTCATTGTTAATGTGTACAATTTGGTGCTGTGCAATTTATATGCCCAGGTATTTGCAGCCAAATTAGAAATAATCAGATATGCCTATGACTGAGTCTGTGACACACAGGACTGGCTGAAAGTGGACTGTACTAACATGATTCAGTTCTTTTAATCCTTTTATTTTACCATGCCGTATAAAGGGGGTATTTTGATCCTTTATTGTATCCATAAAGAAGTTGGGGACTGTTTCTTGTCTGTAATTTCTTATGTAGTTCAGGGTTCCTTCTTGTCCCAATTCAAAGGATTTACTCTCATTAAACTCATTCCAAGACATCCCCAAGCATGTTCCTAAGGTGGCCTAATAGCTGAGAAGACAGTTCCAAGGACTGATAGATATGCAAGAATTTCTCACTGTGAATATAATTTTTTTTAAATATAAATTTCCCCACTTGTAGCTAGTGGTAGATTGTTTCGAACAACAGGACACGGTCCCCATTTTCACCAGTAATGTTCACAAGTGTGCAGGGTTAAATATATGCAACCATCGATTTACTTGAGTTCAAAGCAACTCATGTTTGCTCTGTTCCATATTAGAATGCAGCTAAACAAGCCGCAGCTGCAGCAACACAGACCATTGCAGCTTCACAGAATGCATCTTCATCCAACAAGAACACAGCTGCCCATCAACAGCTGGTCCAGAGCTGTAAGGTAATGGCCTGATACGAAACACTAGATTTATTCATCATAAACCTAAGGGATTTATATGTGTTCCAGTTGCATCGCTTCTCAGGCATTTCTGAGTGTTTCATTTCAACAATACGTATGATGTTAGTTTTCCGGTAAAGTTTAAAAGCACAAATTTAGTTCAGTAAAGAACCGTAAAAAACACGGTGAGTAATTCTGCAGTTTACAAGTAAGCCAAGCTTCTAGGTGATGTGTTGGGTGTTTTCATGTGCAAGAGAAGCAAATCGCACATTTATATAATATAAAATATTTTTGTAGAATATAGTTTCATATTAAAAAAAAGTTTCTAGAATATGAATCTGTGAGCAATTAGCTTAAATGGGGTCTATAAATACAAAATGGTTTCCTTGGATAAGCTGTGTTTCATCCTGTTTTTCAGGCTGTTGCTGACTATATACCTCAATTGGTGCAAGGTGTTCGAGGGAGTCAGGCTGAACCAGAGAATCTAAGTGCCCAGCTTGCCTTGATTATTGCCAGTCAGAATTTCCTTCAGGTGTGTGCAGTGCATGTTCATTTAGTACCTCATTTCTCCGTTCAAGTGAATGTAACAGTTTTTTAAGTTGAATTATGAAGAAAGTCTTAGATTATTGGTACTTGGTGCAATCATTTTAAATGTCATCTTATTTTATTTCCAAGCCTGGAAGCAAAATGGTATCGTCAGCCAAAGCAGTTGTGCCAACTGTTGCTGACCAGGCTGCAGCCATGCAGCTTGGTCAATGTGCCAAGAATCTTGCGACCAGTTTGGCTGAGTTGCGAACTTCTGTGCAAAAGGTTGGTAATAAGTTAAATTTTGTTATTTTTGAAGTGATTACAGCTTTACAAAGTAAAATAAATCTGATTGTCTAAACTATTTGGTGTCGTGCCACATACATGTAAAATATTTGTTTGTGTTTTTAAAAAAAGCACATTTTAGAATAGAAAATTGCAAAGATCATTTCAAAAATAAATAAATAAAAATCTTACTTTTCCTCAATACAGGCTCATGAAGCTTGTGGGCCAATGGAAATCGACTCTGCTCTACATTCAGTCCAAACACTGAAAAATGAATTGCAGGATGCCAAGGTGGCTGCAGCTGATGGACAGTTGAAACCACTGCCAGGAGAGACGGTAAATTGGACTGTTGTGTCAAACAATCTTATTCAGGAAGGAGTATGCCTATTAACACCTGAGTCCCTCTCAGAAGCTAACCGGTTCCAAAGAATTATGATTACCTTTCCTATTCGTCACATGTTCAGTCTGGGCTCCGCTACTGTTAAGAGCTCTGAGACTACCCTGCGTGGAGGGTGCTATCTAAGTACAAGTTGGTGTTGTTTTCCTTTTTTTTTCAAATCCATTATTTAACACTTACTGAGTTAGGAAATAGAAGAATATGAAATGGGGTTGTCACTCCTGATCAGTGTATAATAACCACTGTTGCAGAGTGTACGCATGTGTATACTGGATAAACCCAAGTTTGGGTTGTTTTTAGCTCTCTCGTGTTTTCCATAAGGTGCAGTATTCCTGAGAGTCTAGGAGGAGAATGTTATTTGTAAAATTCCTCTCCAGTGGGTCACAGAATATCGTGGTATCCTTGCACTGTTTTCACTGAACTTCCGTTAAGACGTTGGATATGTATGAATACTACACTCTTGGTTTTATCTCTCTGCAGCTTGAGAAGTGTGCTCAGGACCTAGGAAGCACATCCAAGGCTGTTGGCTCTTCAATGGCACAGCTTCTTACCTGTGCAGCTCAAGGAAATGAACATTACACAGGTAGATTACATTCTTTGTAGCTCTTCTGAAGACTTATGCTCAATTTACTGTTAAGTTGAATTATGTTTAAAGATGAGAGCTTCGATCATTTTCTAATTCTTTTTCATAAAATGTTCTTATTAATACACCTGCACTATTCTTCTGAACTCTCACTTTGCCATTTCACGAGTCTAATTAGGAAAAAGCTTAGCCCCCGACTTGGAATATGTTGCATGTTATAGAGTGTGTAGAAAGATAAACAATCTTGAATAAATTGAAGGAATACAAATTTCTTTTGAAACTCTGTACACAGATTGTTCAACTCGATTTTACAAAGACGATGAAAACAATTGCATGAAATGTTTCAGTTGTGCTCTCTTGCTTAGGAATCGCTGCCAGAGAAACAGCACAGGCTCTCAAGACGCTGGCTTCAGCCGCTCGCGGAGTAGCAGCATCTACTGATAACCCTCAGGCTCAGAATTCAATGCTTGACACAGCACGAGATGTCATGGAAGGATCAGCTGTGCTTATTCAGGAAGCCAAGCAGGCCCTGGCCTCCTCTGGAGATGCAGAAAGCCAGCAAAGACTGGCCCAGGTCAGGCATTATTTTTTTTAAAAAAGATTAACAAACATAATGTGTTTGGCTTCATTTGTTATACCCCTCTCACACCAAACTATTTCACACACAGCTCCCCTATGTGCATTGACACAGATCTTTCTGGTCCACTGTCACCCAATAGATCAAAGGTGCAAATGGGTGGGATCTATTGAATTATCTGTCAATCTGACTTCATTGTTGCAATTGGAACTGGTACAAAATTGCAGTAGTAATGAGGATTGGCATTGGGGAGATCCCAGTGCTTGCTACCTTTATTATACTCATCTAAAAGTAGTAGAATTATTTTAATATAATGAAGCATGGGACATTAGTAATTCAATTCATGTTACAAATAACATTTTATCTATTTTTTTAAAAAAAGGTAGAGTTGAAGTTGCTAAATGCTGCAGTTGGCGATTTTTAATTATGCATGGTTGAAGTGAAAAGTACCTCCCCTTTGGAAAATTATAATTTCTAACAATCTGACTTAATTTATTCAGTTAAATTCTGAAGGACGTTTTGTCTCCATTTTTCATTGAAAATATTTAACAGTAGAAGTGGATATCTCAGAGCAGCTTTTTGAGTGTTGAATTTGCAGTACGATCCATTTGTACGTTTTATTAGTGCACTCAAAAACTTGATGCACTGTAAAACTTGCAACAGTGTGTGTTTGCAGTCTTCGGTTTATATTCTAATGTAAACTGTTTGCTGAAGTGTTTGAATACAGAGTGAAAGCATTGCGCTAAGCATTCTAAAATGTGGGGGGAAACCTAGATGTTCCACATCAAGCATTGAATATTTGTGTTTCTTATTTTAAAAAGATATACTATTTCCTGTTCTTGCTGTGGCTGTTGTACTCATAATATACCACAAACAGCCATGAAACATTCAAAAGAAGCTTTTCATTTTAATCAGTTGTACAACTAGCTCTTAAATAATATTGAACCCCGGCAAAGCTTTCTTCAGTCCCTCAACAGTGATTTAAGCATGGGAAATGGAAATGCTTTTCTCTGCTCTGACTATCTCTCCTGTCGAAAACAATGACTAATTGCTCCTATCGGGCAGATATCATACATAATCCTTTATCTGTCAGTGAATTGTAGAAAGTAATGCAATTTCGGGAACATCTGAATTCCTCAATTGAGTTAGCCTTCCAGTTTGCTGATGAAATTGCATTGCTCTCTATTTTGAACTTAGTTACAGACCCTCTGGTACTTGAGTAGTTTCTTCATTGTTTGGGTGTTGGACTACTAGGTGCACAATGAGCATCCAACATACAGGTGCATGCACACATACACCTTTTGGGGGAGGGAGAATTGCATGGCAAGTGTTTTCTCAATTTTATTTTGAATACAGTGTTTTCTTGTGTTTCACAATCCTCTTCCTCCTTAGGAGAGAGAGCAGTTTGCTCCTCCATGAACAATATAGTGCACATTTATCCTATTGGTTTCCTCTTCTGCCCCAAGTCATTGATTGTTGTGATCAGTCATTTCAAGTACAGCAGCCTTGCTCTGTGGTTGTAGGACACCTTGCTGGTATACACTGCAGTTAATCAGTGCCAGCAAAATCCATAAAATCCATCAGCGTTTTACTCGGCAAGAACTGTTTTTCAGATTTGCAATGGTGGTTTCACTTGATATTTTAAGTTCAGACTTTCTTTTGGGCTTCTAAAGGTGGCGAAGGCAGTGTCACACTCATTGAATAATTGTGTCAACTGCTTGCCTGGGCAGAAGGATGTGGACATGGCCCTTAAGAGCATCGGCGAATCTAGCAAGAAACTCTTGGTTGACTCGGTAAGGTCTTTTGAAATAATAATCCTTGCATTTGGTAGAGCGCCTCCAGAATCTACTTGGAATAAAAACACTTTATACAAGAAATGGATAACAAAAAAATCAAAACATTTTCAGATTTTTTTAATGTTGCAGAAAATGCTCATGTGTTTTTTTTTCTCTCTCTTAGGAAGTAATATATAAAACTAATGTTGAAATGAACAGAAGTTTGTTTTGTTCTGGAGCATTTATGTTTGAAGTGCGTGTGCTCTATGCAGGCTTTGAGAATGAGATTTATTTTAAAACAACGTGTCTGGCTCTGGATTCCTGAATGCATTACCCTTGCCTCCTTCAAGGCGTGTCTCAAGATCCTGCTGTTCGACCACCTCCCTGCCCTCCACCCTCCCTGATCCCAATCCTCCCCCCATCCCCCTGCTCGGGTCCAAATCCCTGACTGTCCAGTGCCTTGGGACATCCTCCTGACGTGGAAGGCACTATACAAATGTAATTTTGCATTGTACTCATACATCTCCCTCTCTTCTTCCCTCTTAATTATTGTTTTGGCCCTCATGTCCACCCTCTCCCTCCAAAATAACCTTTCCTTCAGTTACCGTCGAGCACCAAAAGTTTCCAGGAAGCTCAGAGTGAGCTGAATCAAGCTGCTGCCGATCTGAATCAGTCGGCAGGTGAAGTGGTGTACGCCTCACGGGGAACAAGTGGCCAATTGGCAGCTGCTTCGGGAAAATTTAGTGAAGATTTTGATGAGTTTCTGGATGCAGGCATTGAAATGGCTGGACAGACTCAGGTAAGGATGTTTGTTCAAAAATCTTTTATTTCCTGTTGGCGCATCTGCCCCAAAAAAGCATGTTCAAAATCACACTTGATTAGCAGTCGTAGTATTCATTCATTCGCTTCTTTTACGAAGAGATAAAAGCAGTATTGTTACTTCTTTTACAGTAATGGGCTTGCACTGAGATTTTAGTACATTGTGTCTGGCAATCCATATACATAATTGGTGAATTTTTATGCTTATTAAGATAAGCAAAGTTAGCGATGGAGGAGTGTAATAGTCTTCCATTCAGGTTAAAGGGAACCCAGCATCAACAACACAAATTATGTATTTATATAGCGCCTTTCATGTGGGAGGATATCTTAGAGCACTTTGCACAGCTGACTGGGAGCATGAGCTGGGGAGGGAGCTTGGTGGTGGGGGAGGTGGCTGAAAACACAGTCAAAAGGACAGTTTTTTAAGCAAATTTTGACGGCAAGGTCAGATGGGGCAAGGGTTAAATCATATCAGTATGAAGCATTTGTAAGGAAAAGCACAGTCAGATGCAGAGCAAAATTACTGTTTAGTCCACCCCTACATACCACATGTCCTATGGCTTCACTTGAGTGAAATGCTGTGATCTGGATGTCCTTCAACTCACCATGTGGTCTTTGCTAGAACTGTACATGTATGCAAAACTTGGATGAGGATAGAACCTGGCTCAGCAGTGAAACACCTTGTAAAATGACTTGCATCTTGTGCTGCCACTTTCTTATACACATTTTTGTACATAAAACATTGTTTTTGTGCAAGTTGGTAGTTCAATCAATGTAGCACAGGTCATGTTAAGTTGGTCATGTTTGGTGTAACAAGAAATTTGGTTTGGCAATGGCACAATTAGCTTCGACGATTGGACAGTTATTGTCGAATAGTTCATTTCTTAACTCGTGATATAAATGATCGAAGTTGCTACTTGCTGACATACATTAAATTACAGTAAAACCACGCTAACAATAAAAGTATTGTGAAAGATGTAGAGTGTTAAAAAGAACAATGAGACGACTGCACGTTTTACTTGTTTGAATCTAGACAAAAGAGGATCAAGTTCAGGTCGTTGGTAATCTGAAGAATATTTCCATGGCTTCCAGCAAACTGCTTCTGGCTGCCAAGTCACTGTCTGTAGATCCAGGAGCTCCTAATGCCAAACATCTCCTGGCAGCTGCTGCTCGGTGAGGATTATTTTATTTATTTTTCTACACTGCAGTATTAATGTTGGCTCATGTTCAAAAAACATTTATGCATATTTGTTGAATCATGCATATATGTGGTTAATGTTTTCACGGTTTTTTGATTCATCTTAAAGGATTTGTTCTATGTTGTGCTATATTTGCGTGAATCCCACCCCCCAATCTAAGATGCCTCTTGATTTTGGAGCTACACTTCAATGGGGAAAAAATTCCTGTGCCTTGATTCACGAATGGTAATCATTATAAGGAACTAGCAGTTGACTGTGGGTAAATGGAAGAGATTCTGCAGTCATTTATATAAATGAAATTGTACAATTTTATTCATTTGTGTACTTACGTTTTGGGGTCACTAAGTAACAGCTTTACTTAAATCGGTTCAAAATCCTTTGGTGGTGGAAGAAGCATTTTTTTTTGACCATTCCTAATGTCTTGCAGAGCTGTCACAGACAGTATCAATCAGTTGATTACACTGTGCACCCAGCAGGCACCTGGCCAGAAGGAATGTGACAATGCTCTGCGAGAGCTTGAGGTACAGAATTTAAATGAACTCTGGAAAATCTATGCTTGTAATGCACATCCCTGCTCGTTTTCATTCTGCGTGTTACGTCAGTTCAAAACTGCCAAATCAAAGAACTCTTAGCACCTGCTATTGCTTTGAGCATAAAGGGCCAAATTTATATTGGATGTCAGCCTGGCTCATGTTGGTAGCATTCTCACCTCAGAAAGCTTTGGGTTCAAGTCGTACTCGGCTGCACTGATTTGCCTGACTGGATTATATTTAATAGTGTATGCACAGTCACGACACTTTTCAGTAAAAATCCAGTCAAGTGTTTTGTGATATGCTCCTGATTATGAAGGATGCTACATCAGAGGTAAGGATGATTACTATTGAGCAATTTGTTTTAAAATTGCTCAGGTAATGATTTTACTTTTGGATCACACAAAATAAAATCTTAGAATCCGAATAGTTTATCATTGATTGCAATAAAGTCCAGAAATGTTTTTTTAACATTGTACAATTGTAACAAAATTCAGATCTGTTGCTTGAGTTACTGCATATCTGCAGGATTTCAACATAATTTATGTTGGATTAAGATTACTGCCTCAATCCAAGGTCTGACATCTGGTCAATTGCTATCTTGTAGTATGTGTAATCAGACAAGAAGCTGAATGCTTAATGCAGTGCCGAATGCTTATTTCATTCCTAGGAATGGAAAATTGGGTGGCACATACTTATGGTGGACAGGCAAAGATTAAATTTCCATTCCTTGCTACGCTATATTCAGCAAGAAGGTTGGGTGTAAATTTGCTAATTTCCCTTGTTTTAAATGATTTCCAGACAGTAAAAGGTATGCTGGATAACCCGAATGAGCCAGTTAGTGATCTCTCCTACTTTGACTGCATTGAAAGTGTCATGGAGAATTCGAAGGTAAACAAGTTTAATTTTATACCAATTTGTGCACCAATTGCTACCTCTGAACAATATTTTGTGAACGCTGGTTCTCCACTTTTGCAGATCCTTGGAGAGGCAATGGCAGGAATTTCTCATAAAGCTAAGACTGGTGATCTTCCAGCCTTTGGAGACTCTGTTGGCATCGCTTCCAAGTCGCTCTGTGGTTTGACGGAAGCTGCAGCTCAGGTGATTTTCTAGAATGTAAAAACATGTTTGGAAAACTCTTGCGTTACTTCAATCAGAAGAATATTTTACTGGGATGAATTTAGTAAAGAATGGATTTCAGTTTTCATGAGCATTTGAAATCTACAGAGGTCCTCTGCTACAAAAAGTTCATTTCAAATGTGATTTCAGAAACTTCCTAAGAATTGCACAGTTGGTATCGGCATTAATCACAATGGTCGTTCAGTATATTACAATAATCCTATGCTTGCTATTCGTGCACAGGCATGGGTGTAAGAAAAAAAATTGTATTTTGAATTCTTCATTAACTATTCCTCAGTCTTTGGTAATGTTTCACTCGTTCTGCCTTTCAGCTTTGTCGCATCTGACACATAACATTTTATGATGTTTTAAAATTGGAAGTTATTGATAATTATGTTATGTGTCGACCGATGAGCATTAAGCTACATTTTACGGTGGTGCCGAAAAAAGTTCTTTGGAAATGGGAAAAAATAAGTGAAATGTTTATTAAAATTGAACACATTTTTTTAAAACAAAACGAAGACTGAGAGATTTTACTAGCATTGTCTGAAATGCAGTCGATGCAGTGTGTAGAATGACCTGGCTCTTAACATCTTTCCGTACCTGCTTACATTTCTACTGCCGCATTAAAAATTTGCTAATTTTTATATAAATGGAACACGAGCTCCCCCAGTGGCCTACCCTGTGAGGACACCTCTTGCTGCAGCATTAGGTCATAAAGGATGTAAAGTTGCGCGGTTGAATCCCTGTCTGTGCTGAGTTAGCTGATTTAAAGGGTGCTCCAATTGACCCCCTCTCCCCACCCCCACCCCCAAGGGGCAGTTGGGATAATCACTCCAAATCACTATCCAGTGATGTTGCTGAAATATTAATGTATTTCAAGCTGTCAGGCAAGGTCAGGGTAAGGCTCCACTGCCATGCTCCCTGGAGTCAAATAAAACTACCAATCCAATGTTCCCTTCAACTGTTGGGTAAAGTACTGACAGATGCTGTACAGCTATAGCCAACAGAAAGGCCAGGAGAAAAACTGCAAGACGGGAAACAATATGAAATGATCATGTCTTTGAGGTCTCTAAGCTCATTGTCTTTTCCTCGTACAGTCTAGTTATCTGGTTGGTATATCTGATCCCAATAGCCAGGCTGGGCATCAAGGTCTAGTGGATCCCATCCAATTTGCCAGATCCAACCAGGCAATCCAGATGGCTTGTCAGAATCTTGTGGATCCAGCAAGTAGTCCATCACAGGTATAGATACAAGTATTTCTCTCTATCATTCAATGGAGTTTATTTTGACGCAACCATTCAAGTTTAAGCAAGAATCACTTTATATTGTGCAATAATTTGCTCTCCCCAGGTATTGTCTGCTGCCACAATAGTAGCCAAACACACCTCTGCTTTGTGCAATGCTTGTCGTATAGCTTCTTCCAAGACTGCCAACCCAGTTGCTAAGAGGCATTTTGTTCAGTCAGCGAAAGAGGTTGCCAACAGCACTGCCAACCTAGTGAAGACAATCAAGGTAACTGTATACCTTTTTGTGCTACTAAAGTGATTTTGTTTATTCGGTTTGCAAATGAACTATTTTGATGTCTGCCTTGTGTAGTTTAAATGTCTTGCGTTTTGTTGCCATTGTCTGAACATTAGAGAATACGGTGGAAAACTCCCAGAAACCTGATTGGCATCAACTAATGCTGACAGAGTAATTCTGAATCAAGCCTAAGCCTGTCTTTATGGCTCAGTTACTTTCTGAATAATTTCACTTAGCTATTTGGGCATTTAACTATTTTTAAAAAAATAAATAGTGTACCTTCTGAACCGCAACTTACACTAGTAATTAATTGCAGGTATTAATAACCACCGATGTATTTACTTCACATTAATTACTATTAGGCTCTGGACGGTGACTTCTCTGAAGAAAACCGTGAAAAGTGCAGAGCTGCCACTTCTCCTTTAATAGAGGCTGTAGAAAATTTGACAGCTTTCTCCTCAAACCCAGAGTTTGTCAGCATTCCAGCGCAGATTGGAGCTGAGGTAATAATTCAATGAAGCTTTTTAATTGTATGGTTTCAGTGAACTGAGGATTCGGATTGTAGTTACGATAGAGTTCTAAAGCGTCTTAAGAATCCATGTTGTGTTGAGCATCAAACCATTTGGTTTATTTTGAAGGGAGCTCAGGCTCAGGAGCCAATTCTCTCAGCTGCTCGAGCTATGCTGGACAGTTCATCCTCTCTGATCAGGACTGCCCGTTCATTAGCCATTAATCCAAAGGACCCACCAACCTGGTCTATTCTAGCTGGGCATTCACGCACTGTATCAGATTCTATTAAGAGTCTTATAACCTCTATCAGGTATGTTAATGCAGTAATATCTCTCCATTTGGCAATAATCTTACCACAGATATTGGTGGGCTGAATGGCATTCTGTGTACTTGATTTTTCTTAGTAGTGAGATTAAACATATGCTTGCACCTTTGCTGACTGAGTGTGCACCCAGGACCCAGACCATCTGACCAATCAAGTTGATGTTTTATCCTAGGATTATTTTTTTTTAAAAAAAGACGTGTGTATGTGATTTGTTGCTTTTATTTAAGTTTCTTTCCTTTTCAAGGGATAAGGCTCCAGGACAACGGGAATGCGACTACTCAATTGACAACATTAATAGGTGCATTCGTGAGATTGAGCAAGCTTCTTTAGCAGCTGTCAGTCAGAACCTTGCAACAAGAGATGACATTTCGCTGGAGGTAAAGTATTTATACACAATACTGAAGCCATGGTTACATAACCATCTTAAAATCTGAATAAATACATCAAGCTCCTATTGTAGTTTCCCCTCAATTAAAGAAAATCTGTAAAATGCAGATGTAGTGACATTTTCCCACTTGGTCTGATAGATGATCCTTCATTCACTTGAGGACGTGTTGAATGCCCAGTCGTGGCAATGGTGACCTATATTTTAGCTCATTAAGCAATTATCTAAATCTGAACACCCTCCTTCCATTGTGAGGATACAGCCTTCAGTACAGATGAAATTGAACAGTTACTTGCTCACCTTAAATTCATGGTACTTTTTTTTAAAAATGTGCTCCGTTTCACCCACAAAATATATAGTCAGTTAACTTCAGAGTATATTCTGTGATGTGCTTTGAGACTTCTCGAAGACGTAGTAAGGCGCTGTATCAAATGCAAGGATTATTATTAATGTGAACACTTTTTCAGCGCTTTTTTTTCTCTCTGTCTATCAGGCTTTGCAGGAACAGATGACCTCAACAGTACAAGAGATAGGACATCTGATTGATCCAATAACTACAGCAGCTCGCGGAGAGGCTGCTCAGCTGGGTCACAAGGTGCAATGATCGCCATCCTGAATGTTTACCTGCAAATACTTCACCAGGCAATGATTTTCCTTTTGGAACTTTTTTTTGTAAAGAAAACATAAATAACATAAAACAATTCTCCTCTGTTGAATGTAGGTTACCCAACTGGCCAGTTACTTTGAGCCTTTAACTCTGGCCTCCATTGGTGTTGCCTCAAAGCTTCTTGACCATCAGCAGCAAATGACTGTATTGGACCAGACTAAGACCTTGGCTGAATCTGCATTACAAATGCTCTACGCAGCCAAGGAAGGTGGTGGCAACCCCAAGGTAACGTGGAACACGATATTGAGCAAAAGGATTGCAAAATAATTGTTTAAGACGTGCAAGTCTTGATTCAAACTGATTTACTGCTTCAGCTTGGCTTGATTATACAAATAATTGGGTGCAGCTCAACGTTACAATAGTTAGTTAATTTGATGTGGTTACACGTTGCTTAAGGTGCAGCTTCTTAGGGCAGGAGATGATTTTCTCATCACTCTGCAGATTGAAATTTTGACTGCACTGATAGGAGTGATTGGGTCTTGTCAATGAATGTGGAGGAGATGTCATTGGAAGGAAAATTGTCACTAGGATCTGTCAACTGCCCCCCCAACCCCAGAGGCCATCTAAACAAATAACATTGCCTGGCAGCAGATTACCTTGGAGAGATGATGGGATGGGAGGGTAGATAAAGAGCCATATTTGGTTGGCTTTTTCTGATCCAGAAACAAATTCTGTCACTTTTGATTCATATCTTTTTGTTCATTATAGTATTTCAATGCAGTGTTGAAGCAGGGGTTGCTGAAAGGATTGAATGGTAGAGAAGCTAAAAGTGGACCAAGAAAGCTTTTTCTGTCACTGTTCTCACACGCGCTTTTCCACAGATGTAGAGATATTAAAGGGAGCACCACAGGTGCTCCCTAAGCTGTGGGTATAATCAGCCATGGATGTATATTAAATCAGACTGATATAACTAAAGCAATGCTGTGTGACTGATCAGGGTCCCACGTTGCGCATGCTTCTGTACTTTGCAGTTGCTGTGTGTTGACTGGATATATATTTGGGCACCCTGCTTCCATTAGTCTGCCAGTGCCTTCTGTCTGGATGTTGGAATGGCACAAGAGCAGATGGGGCGAACTGTCCCTCTCCTGTTAACTATGGGTAAGTGCTTCAGTTTAGCCCAGAGCCTCCTAATAACCCAGCTGATATCGGAACCTCTGTGGGGAAATCATGACCATAAATCCAGGATTTACCTTTGTTAATTTCTAATACATTTAACTCATTATATGAATTTGGTGTTAAGATATCAATTTGGCGTCATCTTTGAATTAATGAAGTGCAATGTTCAAAGAAAAAACCCCACAAAGAGTTGATAGATAATTTTTTCCCCCCTGCATGTAAAATGGCTGCTTCAATGTACCACTAATATGATTCAAGTTACTAACAGTTGTGTAAAATGTGTTTCCAAACCAGAGTAATGAATGTCTAACTGTGAATTGTTCAATGTTTCAAATTACACATGTGACTAATTGTTTTTGTTTTGTTTAGATGTTTTCTTTTGATCTGTGTTCCCCAGATGTGTATGTTACAGTTTTTAATATTGTTTTTTTTATTGTTTTTGATGTATTGAGTTGGCCCGTGTCTCACGTGTGATATGTGCTTATTCACGCTGTGTTCCTGTTGCCGCACATATGCAGGATTATTCACTTCACATTCATGGACAGGACACTGGTCATGAATGTTGTCAGACGGTGTGTACCCACTGTTCTTTCTTTTCAGCTCATGTTTCTGTCCAGATTTCTGTTTGGCTTCTTGAGCAATTGCCTGTTTAACTTGAATCAAACATTGTGAAAGTTTGATTCAACCCACTCCGAAAAACTTTATGTGCAATTGCATTGCGCATATTCTGGCGTGTAAATCCAGTGTGTCTTGTGCTTTTAAATTAATATTCCCATATTTCTACTCCCCTTGCATTCTTCTCCCCTTTTAGTTAAATATAAACCCTATATTTAGCATTTATTTGAAAATAAAACTGTCAGAATGTATACTTAACAGACTGCTTAACAATTCATTAAAAAAAAGCAATTAAATTTTGAAATTAACTGTTTAGTACCCATCACATGGGCCGGCAGTGAACCTGAGGAAAACCTAGTAAAGATTTTTTGGCAGATGTACGTAAAAGCATCTGGTTAAAAGTGATTCTGTGCAGAGATCCCTTAAAAAAAAGTAATTTGTTTGTATTATTATTCATTGTTGCAGTAACCATTCATTATGGCAATTACCCAAGAAGTTTTGAAATTGTTGCATAAGGTGTAAACTTGTTGATCTGTTCTAAGAGCTAATGCATTGTGTATGCTGCTGTTATCTGTTCAATCACTGCATCTTTGCCTGTATCTGCTTGGCACTTCCCAATGTGCACCATTTGTGGCGTGAATGTGCTTTATGCTTCATAAACTAAATCTGATTATCAGAATAATTATTTTAACACCTCGGTGACTTTGTTTACCAATCAGTGTCACCTTTGCATGCTTGAGGTAAGCAAAGCTTGGCCAATGACGTCAGAATGGTTTGGGCAAGGCTAGTATGAGTGTCTGATAATTGTCAGGAATGCACTGATGTATGTTTACACATAAGCTAATCAGCACGCTTGTCTATCAAGAAAGCTGTTTGGCTGTTTAAGAATTTCTGCTTAAAGCATTTATGTGCTGGGCAGCAAAATGCACGTGCCCATATGTGACCCTAATTGTGAGGCATAACGTATGCCAAAAAAGACTTGATTTAGATTCACTGTGCCAATTGCATGCTGTTCATTGTTTTTCCTAGGTTACAGTATTAAGTGATGCGCTCAAATTCTCTGTGTGTGATAAAACGTATAGTGTAAAAATGGCATGTGATTCATACTAACTACAGACAGGGATGAGCCAGCTTGATGAGGGCATTTCAGGGTTGTCATGTAAGTTCTTTTGAATAGTTTACTAAATTCAATCTTTATTACTGTATTTGATTGCTTCCAGTTGTGATTGATCAGAACCTTAATCATGCATGTGCATAGACAGAAAAAAAATCACAACAGCTGATCATGCAGACTGCTCAGGTGAACACTTGAGTGTTATGAAATGGATGTTTGGGCATTAACAAAAGGTTGGAGTTCTGCAGTAATCCAAAATGAATTCTGTGCTCAGAATTACTTGTGTAACTTTTCTTTTAAATTAACAGTGGCGGGATGTTAATGAGGTGTTTTAGCACCATCACCAGCTGATTTTCTTTTGCTGCTGTGATCTGAAGTTTAGTTGTCATCTTTTCTCCTATTGTTTCTCTTTGAGAGAGAAGCTGTGCAAGCTGCTCATTCAATATTTAGGTTTCAGTCAGAAGACACTGTCCTAGAGTGATGTGTTGAGGTTCCATTCATTGACGACGTGGAGAAGTGAATCCACTCTCACAGACTAGTTGCTGTTATAATTAAGAGTCCAATATCACTTTGTACGTGGTTCCCGTGGTTAGCTCTTACTATGGAATAATAAATAATAATAATCCTTACATCTGGTATCGTCCCTTTCCCATATGGAGGATATCTCAAAGCGCTTCCAGGATACAACAACAAATTACATTTGTGTGGCGCCTGTTACACCAGGAGCATGTCCGAAGGCTCTATATAACCGTTAGTGCAGGGACTCTGTATGTTTTATGGCAAATATGGCACCCAATTTGCGCACAGCAATGTCTCACAAACAGCCATCAATTGAATGACCATTATTTTAGAGGAATATTCGCCAGGGCCTCGCTTCTCTTTTCGAATAGTACCATGGAAGCTTTAACGCTACATGAACAGGCAAGCAGACAGGACCTTGGTTTTATGTCTCACCTGAAGGACAGCACCTCCAACAATGCAGTGCATCTCAGTATATCCTGTGAAGCGCTACCTCGGAGTATCAGCTCAGAGTAACACTCCTGACGTGGGAGTTCCAAGTCCTGATGTGGAGCTTGAACCAATAACTTTCTGACTTTGAGGCGAGAGTGCTACCAGCTGAGCTAGGCTGACAATAATAGTTGTTTAACTTGGACTCCGTGCATTCCTCGAAACCGCTCTACTTATCAAACAAAAGAGCATCAATGGTGGAGAAAATTGCACTTAATGCCCTAGTCCAGATAAGTGAAGCTCCCACTCAGACTCCCACGCTTACCAGGGTCTCTGCACTTAAATCAGGAAGGAAGAAGGTGTCTTATAGATACTTGAGTGCATTTGAAGTTGTCTCTCAGCTGGTGCCAAAACACTTTACTGAGTAACTGCTGATGCTTCTTTCTGAATTTCATGGTGGTTTATTCGGAAAATGTAAATTTTTATAGAATTGTGATGACATTTCAGACACGGTTGTGACACATATTGCCGTGTATATTTGGATGATTTTTGTCCTTTACATTATTGGACATTTTTATAATTTGACCTGAACTCACAAAAGATATTCTCAAATCAAATGACTCAGGGACATTTGAGCACATAATCCTTATTGTTTCTTGGTCTGACAAATGAGTATGTACTGAAATGTTTTTGAAAAAAAGGAGATGAAATTCAGAAATCCTGAATCCAATTCATTGTTTTTTTGTGTGGTGTGAGTGATTTACGGAAGAGGTGTGTGTGTGTGTGTGTGCGTGTGACATACCATTTAAAAGTGCCATGCAAAGCGATAACTGAATCAGCTGCTGCCATCTCAGATGTGGATCTAATTATAGCTTCTCTTCCACACAGCTGAACACATTGCTGCTCTTTACTGATTTGCCGTGCCTTTTACTTCATTAATGCATGGGAATTTATTTTTTCATAATGTCTTGAATTATGTATGTAGCATGTCACCAAGGATCAAGACTAACGCAACGTATAAAGTAGACAGCCCTACAATGCAACCTTTTTTGAAGTCTTTGTTCATTATTAAACATTCTCCAGCAAATATATGATTTTGAATTTGTGCTGATGTTGCTTGTTGATTAATCACTGTAAGATCTATTAGTGGCTTGGAAACTTCAGCAATGGCTTGCTGATTTTGGAAACGGCACACTATAGCCCCTAAACACTGTTAGTCTTGATCCTGGTTTCACTTGTCAGATTTTTGTGGTGATCAATTAAGCTTGAATTGTTTGATTCGTGTAATGTGAAATTTTTAAGTATTTGAGTTAGATGGTGAGATACCATCAGGCATTTGTTCAATCCCATGTCCTCATCCATTCATGAAGAAGAGGGTAAAACTATTCTGGCTGCAGCAGATTATAAACCTGTAATCAAAGGGATGGAGAATGGTAATGTAACACTGAGCTCCTTGATGTCTCAGTAGGTGCATGTGCCACCTGGTGTGGCACTGACCAATATGGTCCAGGAAGATCACAAGTTTAATTCCTTGCTGAGTTATCTCATCACAATTGTGGCATTGGTGAGAGCACCAGAGCTCGCTACCACCCTTTACCCAGTGAGGGGAACGATTGCCAGTTCTCGCATTGATCACTATAATGTGACCCTAAAAGAAAACGTAAGCATATGATATTGGGTGAGGAATAGATCACTCAGCAGCGATTCCCTCGGGTCAAATCGTTCATTGTGCAGGCCAGTAGTCTGTAAGTACTTGTACTATCAGAATCAAATATAAGTTACAGCCTTCAGGAGAGGAGGGGGCAAAGCTGAGGGAACAAAGCTGACACTTGAGTCCATGTACTTTGCTAGGAATGGGTGCGTAGGCCAGAACTGAAAGTTGTCTTTTATTGGGTATGTGCGCATTCTCCAGAACCTGTTTAATTCCCCTGATTAGCACAAAACGTGCTCCGCAATATACAGAACGTATAGTTTTTAATTTCTGGGACCATAGTTATTTTTGTTTCCATTCCGACACTTTATAAAAAGAAAAAAGCAACTGATTCTAGGCAAGTTTTATATAAAGCAGCTGACATTCGCTAGTAAATGACTTTTGTGTATAATGGAATTAATTCAACAGGCTTCACACACGCACGATGCCATTGCAGAAGCAGCTCAGCTAATGAAGGAGGCAGTGGATGATATTATGCTAACTCTGAATGAGGCTGCGAGTGAAGTGGGTATGGTCAGCGGAATGGTGGATGCAATTGCTGAAGCAATGAACAGAGTAAGTGGTTCTCTGGGGATTCTGTCTGAAATACTATAGGGTGCGTTTCTAAATTGCCTGTCGTGTTCTGCTGATTTATTCAAGCCAAGCAAGTGTCCCTGCTCGAGAATCAATGCAGTGGTATTACTGAAAGTGTAACTACTGTATTGTAAATAAATATTGTTGCCTTTGATTTCAAAGTTGATGAGCCCATTCTTATCACCCCAGTGGAAATTTCACAATCTCAAACTACAGTCCTGATGGGCCTCACAGCTAATACCAATCATCTGAATGTGCCAAGTATAGTTCGTGCAGCTGGTGGTGTCCTGTTTCTATTTATTAATTAGAACATGTGCTGACCGCAAGATATGTGTTGATTTTCGATTTCTCCTTCGCTGTGCTTGTAAATTCCACAAAAAAAAGGGCAACAGATCACCTTTAAAGAAAATATCCTTCAGTTCCAGAAATAGATCAGCTTTGAAGTGCAATGTACTGAAGTAGAATAATGAGTACTTTTCTACATATAACTTTAATGCTAGTTGCATTTTATGCTCATCCATTTCCATTGCTTGATCTTTAATACTTTGCATTTCTTTCTTTCCCAGCTTGATGAAGGCACACCTCCAGTGCCAGAAGGAACTTATGTTGACTATCAAACGACAATGGTAAAATATTCTAAAGCGATTGCAGTCACTGCTCAGGAAATGGTAAGGGAACAATACAGATTTCTTTTGACCTTTTTATAACAAATATAAGAGTAATTGAGATTTTCTGGATCCGGGATTGAGACGACTAAATTATTTTTCCCACAAAATATATAGTTAATTCATTTTATGATATATCCTCTGAAGCGCTTTGAGACATGCCGAAGACATGATAAGGCTCTGTATCAAATGCAAGGATTATTATTACACAAACATTCTGTTCATTTCAGCCCCCTACTAGTATTGAGTCAATACATCCATCCCAGCCATATGAATATTTTTGAATACCCAGCTCCAGAAGTTATAGGATCATTTCATTTTCTGTGTGTGTGTGTGTGTGTGCATATATATGAGAATATAAAATGCAATGGTATACCAAGATATTTATGATGTCTGACTTCTGGAACTCTACCTCCATGCCTCCGCCTTATCCCCTTGATCGCATCTGAAGATCTTCCTCTTTTACCGTGCCTACAGTTACCTCCCCTTTCTCCCTGGCTCAGTGTCAAGCTCTGCTACTGTTAAGCATTCCGAGCCGATACCCGCGTGAAAGGCACTTTATGAATGCAAATTGTTGTGGTTGTTGATGATGATGATTATCTCTTAAAGGTGAGGAATATAATGTTATTAGACATCAAGTTTTTTTTGCCCCCCTTAAACTGTCCAAAAAGCGACTTGTGCCACACCTCAGGGTGTTTGACTTTCCTTTTTATAGTTTGAAATTTTAAAAATAAAAATTATTGTGCCATTTTGAGAGAAACTTTGGAAATTAATCCTTGCAGAAACAATCAGTCCTTCAATTAACATCAGATCTTCAATTTAAGTTAGTAACTAAGCGATAAGTAGCTGTACAATTTGTTCACAATGGCAATCTGTGCAATCTTATCTGGTTGAACTGCTGTCGAACCCAAATGCTCAGGGGTCCCAAGCCTTTGTTCTTGCTAACCTGTGTCTAAATGTTAGGATTAAATCTTGAAGGCAAGTTATTGTATTTTATGATATCTGGAGTAAATTCAGGTTGCGATCAAGCTGCATATTTAATTTGATATTTTATAAATAAGAATGTTGTAGCTGGTTCACTGAAAAATGTAAGTCGTTGCAGTTCACCTTTGTGGCTGTACAGTTGTTATAATGTACGGCGATGGAGCCAGCCAAATGACATGTTCATGATGAATGAAATGGTATAAATAAACATCTCTCTGTAAACGATTCTGTGGTTTCATTTTGCAGATGTCCAAATCTGTCACCAGCCCTGAAGAGCTGGGTGGTTTGGCTTCCCAAGTGACGACTGATTATAGCCATCTTGCTCACCAAGGGCGACTAGCAACTGCAACAGCTGACACAGAGGAGGTCGGATATATTATTATTATTAATGTAATACTTTCTACTTTGAGCAAAGGCTGAAACTATATTTAAAAAAATCTTTGCCTCTGCAAAGCTATTTTCAGCCTAAAAGGGCGATTTGTATTTGAGTGAAATTAAGGAAGTTCATCCATTTGTCTTGATGGGCAATAATTTTCTAATTTTAAGTTAATTTTTGAAAGGGGGAATACAACATGAATGTTAGAAATGTTGGCATCCCATGCCGTTTACACAGAAACCAGAAGATCAGGTAACCATTGAAAACCCTGAGCAGTGTGTTGACTGATCAATGAAATGACGACCTGAAAATTGTTCTATGAATCCTCCGTTTGGACAACTAAGTCAATGATCCATTTAATGTAGATGTGTTTTGTTTGTATCCTAACAGCTTTCGGCCTTCTCGCCACTGAGACTTAAATAGCTGTGCTATGCATGCCAATATTTTCACTAGCTCCTCATGCCAAGAAAAAAAAACAAAATGGGAGAGGCAAAGAAACTGAAAATTAGATACCTTAAAGTCCTATCGATGCCTTTCCAAAAATTAACCACCTTCAAAGATGTCCCTTGTAACTCATGGGTTTCAAAACTCACACAGCCACCAGCTCAGCAAATTAGTGAAATAAATTATGTACACTCGTGCCTTCTATCAATGTGTATAGATCTAAAAAAAAATGGACAATCCCCAGAAAACAGTATGTACCACTCATGATGACAAATGTTGGATTGTAAAACTTAATCTCTCTGCAGATTGGATTCCAAATCAAAACCCGTGTGCAGGACCTTGGCCATGGCTGTATATTTCTGGTGCAAAAAGCTGGCGCTCTTCAAATTTGCCCCACAGACAGCTTTACGAAGAGAGAGCTGATTGAATGTGCCCGTGCTGTGACAGAAAAGGTGAGGGAGCTACAGATTTTGCTGTTTCAACGGTACATCAGTGCAGTGGATTCATAGACACTTATATGGACTTGTCCGTTACTGTGTTTTTTGTCTTTTGGCTAAATGGTCTCCTACGAAAATAAGGGCCACATTGCACATTGTTTTAATAGGCTTTTGAAATAAGCTTGACAAAGTAAACGATTTACAGGTTCATCATTATTATTTTGCATAAATCTTCTTTCTGCCTAGGTTTCCCTGGTTCTGTCTGCTCTGCAAGCAGGAAACCGAGGTACACAGGCTTGTATAACTGCAGCCAGTGCAGTTTCTGGCATCATTGGAGATCTGGACACCACGATTATGTTTGCTACAGCTGGTACTCTGAATGCAGAGAATGACGAGTCATTTGCAGATCACAGGTCAGTGTCTCTTAGGAAGCTGGTGAGTAAATTAAAATTAAAGCTTCGTACAATTCAATACAATTTACATTGATATAGTACCTTCACGTTGGGAGGATGTTCCAAGGTGCTTGACAGCCCTGGTTTGGCAATATAATACATTCAAGAAAATAACTTTGTGTCAAACGGTTTTAGTATTTTAAAATATATGTATGAGCATTGGAAGCAAGGGAGTTGGCAAAAAAAACAGTCCTACCATTATTCCTGGCTGAAGTGATTATATCATAAAAGATGAGGTTACTGCAGAGTCACCCAGAGGTCAGTAGCTGCTTAAAAAACTTTAATCAAAACACAAACGTGATTAAAATAAAGCTGAGCTGTATTTATACTTGAAATGTGTTTTAAGAAAGAGGCAAATTGGCAAATTTGAGGAATGTTGATAACCAGGACAGACTCCATTATAAAAACAGAATGTACACATTCAGAATTCTGCAAAGGAGAACGTGATGGGATGAGAGGAGTCAAACTAGTTATAGTTTGTATGTGGAAGTTAATAAAATTATAGACCAGGTGTCGATGCATCTAGCCAGAAATTTTACCCACAGATATCTGGAGAAGTAAAGCCAAAATATATATGATGTGGTGGGGGCAGGTTTAAGGCAAATGGGTAAATATGGTTGTATTTGCCTCCAGTATTGTCAAGAAAATTGTTTAGGTGAAGTGTATTCTGTTCTTAAATTAAATTATGTTCTTTCACACACGCTAATTATTGCTATATGCCAATGGTGTGCTGCTGCATTTAATTAGTCCTTCTCTGCCTCCCTCTCCTCTGCCTTTCAAAACATTAAGAAGCTTACACAATTCTCAGGGTACAAAGTAAATGACTACAAGATGAAAGGCTTGTCCCTCAACAATATTTCACACACTTATCAGAATCCTTTCCAATTTGACGGGACTTCAGATACTTGGATGTAACAGTGTAATACAGACGTGTAACATAGGTGGGGCTATGTGAGTTTGGAGTTGATTCACTGCAGATATTTTACAATAGCTGGAATTTCACCCTTAAGAAGCCCACACTGCAGCCTCAAAAGAGCAGTGACAAAAGGACTCCATATGAATAATGGGAATTTTCATATGACTGGAGGAGGATTTGTAAGATGACAGTGATTGAGAGTGAGGTATTCTATCAGATTGCTCTTCAAATTATTTAACTTGGTCATATCAACACTTATTGACATCCGAGAGCATCAGTAACAAAAAGGATTTAAGTTGCTTGGTAACTGAAGACTGAACAAGGGCTTCTGTTATGAATTGTCCAGCTAATAGGCCCACTCCCCCACGATTCATTTCATAAAATCTAGCTGGTAAGCTACTTATTGTGCAGTTTCTTCAAGGGTGGGAGAGGTATTTTGAGTTGTTTTGTTAAGGATGAGCTATTAACAATTTTGTTTTTGACGACTTTATTCTTACAACTATGTTTCCCAGGGAGAACATCCTGAAAACTGCTAAGGCTCTAGTTGAGGACACAAAGTTCCTTGTATCTGGTGCAGCTTCGAGCCAGGAAAAGTTGGCTCAAGCTGCTCATTCTTCTGTTAACACCATCACACAGTTGGCTGAGGTGGTGAAGCAGGGAGCAGCCAGCCTTGGTTCAGATGACCCAGAAACACAGGTAAAAACTTTGGTAATGTGGTCAATTCAGAAGCAGCCTAATATCAGGAGTTAATCTGTGACCTTTGCAAACCAGATTTGATGCACTATAAACAAAAGCTATTTAATTTGGGATATTCTCAAACAGACCAATCGTGGTTTTTTTTTTCCAATCTGGGACCCAGATTTGTTTTAAATAGTGTTTTTCTTTTTTTTGGCCCCATTGATGCTCACAATTGTGAAAGAGCTTGAGAGGGTAAATATTGAAAGATATCCATGATGGTTGTCAAATGATCAACAAGGGAGTATGTCCACTCAAGTTTATTACTAGAATCTTAAAGGTTAAAGCTTAAAGGACAAGGCATTTTTTTTACACACAAGGGGTTATAAGAAATATTTTTGACCTGAGCTTATTGAAAGTAATCTTTTTTTAAAAAAATTTTGTTCGATCAGACGTAATCTTGCACTGCAACATTTCATTACAGATGGAAAAAATTTAGATAAAATATATTAGTAGAATAAGGTTAATGCTTGACAAGCTTGAGGGGAATTTTCTATATTGTTTTAGGTGGTCCTAATTAATGCAGTAAAAGATGTGGCCAAAGCTCTAACCGACCTCATTAGTGCAACAAAATGTGCTGCTGGCAAACCGGCTGATGATCCATCCATGTATCAACTAAAGAGTGCTGCCAAAGTAAGTGTGTGTGTGTGTGTGTGTGTGTGTGTGTGTGTGAGGGGTAGACAGAACAGCATCGATTTTTTGTGCAGATATATTTTAAATGAAACATTGGGTGAAAATGTGGTATCAGCTGTCTACAGTGATTTTCTTTGGTTAATTTTATAGTTTGTAGAGGGGTTTTTTTATTCTGTGAAATAAACATAGTTTTTTTTCTTAGGTAATGGTTACAAATGTCACCTCTCTTTTGAAAACTGTAAAAGCTGTGGAGGATGAAGCAACTCGTGGCACAAGGGCTCTCGAAGCCACTATCGAAAGTATCAAGCAGGAGCTGACGGTACGTGATTGGAGTGAAACTGGTATTGATTTAGTCAATATAAAACTAAACACAGGGTTAAGTGCACATCTGAACAAATATAGCCAAAAGAAAATGGCAAATTGTCAGACTCAGTTGTATCCTGGATAAATAATGCAGATTGAATTGTATGAACATGGATTGTGGTGTCTGTAGAATTTGTCAAATGTTGTTTTTGTTATCATTTACAGGTATTCCAGTCAAAGGAACTGCCAGAAAAGACTTATTCACCTGAAGAATTCATCCGAATGACGAAGGGCATTACGACTGCAACTGCGAAAGCTGTGGCAGCAGGCAACTCGTGCAGGCAAGATGATGTGATTTCAACAGCCAATCTCAGTCGCAAAGCAATGGCTGACATGTTAACCGCTTGCAAGGTAATTGACTGCTTTTGGTACAGCGGATTTTAACAGTGCGAGTTTGTACAACGTTATTAGCTGTGACTGAAGGAGTGCTTTCAAGTGCTTTGTAGAGGGCATACAAAGGGGCCTTAGGAGGGATGGAAGCTCGAGTGGAATATAAATATTGGCAAGGACAAGAACTGGTTGTGCTGTGCTGAATGCTTTATTTTCTGCCCTGTAACAGTCTATGTAAACGATTAACGTGCCTTTTTGGTCTGAGTAGCAAGCAGCTTATCATTCAGAGGTATGTGAAGATGTACGAAATCGAGCACTGCATTTTGCAACGGAATGCACTGTTGGCTACATGGAGATGCTGGAGCATGTTCTCGTGGTGAGTTATCAACTAAAATAATTCACTGTTTAACATTAATCTTCTTGGCTAAATTACGTTAAATGAAACGGAACAATTAGGTAGTTTATCATTTGAAATGTTCACAATCAGTGCTGTTTCACAAAATATTTCCGTCTGCTCGCAGAAAGTATCGGATTTCAGGTTAAGTTTGTGTTATGACTGTTCTTGTATGCATAGAGTTGAAATGATTTGAAGAATGAGCACAGTATTTCATTTGTCTTCCAGTTTTGTTTGTATTCTGTCATCATCACTTTTTTTCCTCTTCCCCCCCCCATTTTTACAGATTGTTCAGAAGCCCACAGCTGATCAGAAACAGCAGTTGTCTGGATACTCTAAGCGAGTAGCTTCAGCAGTTACGGAACTGATTCAGTCAGCAGAAGCCATGAAAGGTCAGGGTAATTAGATAGAGAATAAAATAATAACTCTTAACCATTACCCATTGTGAATTAAGCTTGCTAAAGCATTTAGCTTTGCAAAGAACAGCCCTGGTCCTCTGGTAGAAAATATATTTTCTTTTTACGACCTTTTTATATATTCACTCATACAATACAACCTCAAGAGCAGTTCCTTGCAGTGTCGTTGCTCAGCAATCCACTTCAATGCTCATTTGTGTTCTGAAGCGGAATAATTAAACAAAGCCCCGTAGTCTAAATATCGGACAAAAAAAACTGTTCAAATTATTGCATTTTGGCTCCATGGATTATTTTTAGTACAATTTTAGTCCTTGCACTTGGAAGCAAGAAAAGAATTCACATTAAATGTTTTGACTTTTGTCCAATTTATGTTCATTTAAAACAAATTGAAATTGCTTCTGAGATTCTCTGTCATTAAAGCAAACTGAAGTGTTGCTTATACCTGCCTCTTGGGTGAAGCTTGAGATTGCAAGTCTGAGATTAGCAGTCTTAATGTGAAAATTCAATTAACAGATAACTTAGGTGTCAGGCTGGCGCAGTTAGTACTCTCGCCTCTGAATCAGAAAGTAAGACACATAGTCTCGGCTGATATTGTAATACACTGCTGATACTAGATTAAACCAAGGTCCCATCCACCTGTTCAGGTAGACATTAAAGATCTCATGGCACTATTCAAGTTACTCGTAGCCTCATGGCTAACAATACCCCAGATAAAATTGGCCATTCAGTTTGTGGTATATTGCTATGCACAAATCGACTATTCATCAACAAAATACAGTCACTGCACTTTTTACAGTAAATCATGTGAAACTCTTATAAAACACCCATCTGACATAAAAGGTAATATCAAATGCACCTATTATAATAACTATAGTCTTGTCAGATCCTAGACTCATCGCAAGGTTCATGAATTTCACCACTTTTTTGAAAAGAATGTGTAATTTTAAGATATTATTTGCTTCCAGTTACAAAAACTATTAGCCATAATGTTATTTTAAAAAAAACATTTGGTAAAAATCCACGCATTGGCAGAGATGTTACAGTGAATGTTCTCACTTGCTCAGGTACAGAATGGGTGGACCCTGAAGACCCGACAGTCATTGCTGAAGCAGAGCTTCTGGGAGCTGCGGCTTCTATAGAGGCTGCAGCCAAGAAATTGGAGCAACTTAAGCCAAGGGCTAAGCCAAGGGTAAGAGCTAATTCTCGTGTATAGACTACTAGCCGACAATTTGTACTACCAAAGATTGTGCACATTTTGTCTAGATGTTTCTACACACGCGCTCTGGGACACTATGCTGTGTGAGGGGCGCTGTAAATGCAAGTTGTAGTAGTTGTAGTTTCTAAATAAACGTGATTTAACTTAAGTTTAGTATAAGTATCAAAGAGTTTCTCTATTCAGCTACCACAGTTGCTCGCAAACATTGCTGTCTTGTTAGTGCTTAGTTGCATGTACCACTGTGTTCTTTGAAGCTGAATCAAACCTGGATGCCTGTCTTGCAAGACTCTGTGTGATATGTTTGATATATTAGGTTGTTATTAAAGCCAACTATATATCAAACATATTCCTATAGTGTCCTGCCCTGTCTCCGGGGTTCAAAATTTTTCATGGGCAAAATGGACATTCATTGTGATTTTTTGGGGGGTTGGGGCGGGAGGGGGGAAATATGTTGAATAAAAACACATCCATAGTGGTCTTGCTTCTTAAAGAAAAAAAGTAATTGGTGACTTTTTTTAGTGTGTGTGTGGAGCAAGTCTCTTTTAAAAAGAATCAACACCAGAATTTATTTGTATAGTTTGTTTTTGAAAGACAACACACTATTAAGCAGGACTAATTACTTTTTTTTCCTGTAATCGGAATACTTTAGAAATTGTGCTTTAGGATTTTTTTTGGAGGCGGGAAAAGAATGCACATTCCAATAAATATCTTAGGAATTTATATGTATAGGTGGGATGCATGAAACTCTGCTTGGTCCTCTTAAGCATGGTGATGGGTTTACATATGTGCCCGACAAAAATAATATAACCCAGGCTGTTCACATTGCATTGGTTTTATGTAATTCCCACAGATTTTGCGGTATTTTGCTGTAACACTATATTGTGCTTTCCCTTTAGCAAGCAGATGAAACCCTCGACTTTGAGGAGCAGATTTTGGAGGCCGCCAAGTCCATTGCGGCTGCTACCAGTGCACTGGTTAAGTCTGCTTCAGCAGCTCAGCGAGAGCTTGTTGCACAAGGAAAGGTGAGCACACTGTTGGCTAGGAGTGATTTCTTGCACATTTATTGATTCAGTATTGTTTTGTATTTTAGTCTCACTGTCTTTCTTTTCACCACATCTTCTGAATACAGGTTGGTGCTATCCTGGCTAATGCAGTAGATGATGGACAGTGGTCTCAAGGACTTATATCTGCAGTAGGTATCTTTCTACAACATCACTGTATGAATTGATATTCCATTATTTGCAGTGGGTGTCGTTAAATTGATATTTAATATAATCCATGATGAAAAGTTTGTCCCAACTTCATGTTGGGTTTCTTTTCGAATTCCTGGCCCATTCCTGGTCTCTTAAAGAGAACTATCTATCCATTGGTGCAGTGTTGAAATTGCTAGAGTACAATTTCAATCAAAAGACTTTTGGTTCAGTGATCACCAATTACTCCCAATTTTTTTTAAAAATCCAAATTTTACAGTAAGATGCAAATGATAAAATGTGACTTTTGTACCGATATGTGAATCAACAAGTTATCAATATCAATCTTTTCAAGGGGAATTAACTTACTGATTATGCTGCTTAATCCACCTTTATCTACAAATCATAAAAAACACAGGCAGAACGCTTTTTAATCCAAACAGTGTTAGAAGCAAAACCATAAATGTTTCAATTAACTGTGGTCACTGAAAGACATTTGTGCACTTTTCAATTATTGGGGACTGCTTTTGCGACTGGCGGACAGGGATAATAAATCTTTTTTGCAGAATTAAAATACTGTACTTGGGTGCCAGTCTGTTGTGATGAATTTGGTATCTCGATATCTAGAATGAGACCATTCGCTGTTGTCTTATTGTTTCAGGCTCGAATGGTGGCAGCTGCCACAAGCAATCTATGTGAGGCAGCAAATGCTTCTGTTCAGGGCCATGCCAGTGAAGAGAAGCTCATATCATCAGCTAAACAGGTAGCAGCATCCACAGCACAGCTCCTAGTAGCTTGTAAAGTGAAAGCAGACCAAGATTCGGAAGCTATGAGGAGGCTGCAGGTATGTATATTATTCGATCAGTCGCCAGTCATGCAGTTACTGTTGTGCCTATTTAGCCGGGGCCTTGAGTAGATAGATTGGCTAACCTTGTGATGGCCAGTCACCACCATGCTTCGGCCCAAGTACTACATACAGTTTAGACGTGTATAGGTCACACTTAAACCTTATTTGTAATAATGAAATCCTTGCATTGACGCAACATTTTTTTATCTTCGAAATGTCCCAAAGGCTTTTTATTTGTGTGGTACAATTCCCTATGTGGTATTCCCTGCCCAAGTCTAGCACTACCAGTTACCGGAACACAGAGACCAACCTTCCCCAATGCTGTTGCCGATGTCCATTTCTTTTCTATCACTAGGAGGAGCTTCAACGGCATTTGAAGTGACGCTGAACCTCCCCGGTTGCTCAAAGAGTCTGTGTGCAATCTTGTGGCTTTGTTTAACCCTCTTCTTTCCTTCAAGCCCTGCCAAGATCCATTTTGATTCTGTTTTCTTTCACCTCTTTATCAATCTAAGATAGGCCCAATCAATTCAAACTCTAAATCCTATGAAATCTACATTAATCTTTATCCTCATTCCCTACCTAGACTGGGAGAAACAAAATACCTACATGAGCATCAACAATTCCTCACACCTTAAGCCATAAATCAGATTGTGAAGGATTTTACAAATTTTTATTTTGAGTTTTTATTTTGAAATTTAGTGTTCTGCAATTCATTTAAGTCCTTAATTAACACATTTCTGACATGTTCATCGCTTGGGTCACCTACATTCAGACTTCATAATTAGTTCTAGGTCACAAGAGGCAGTGAAACAAAATTTTAACAATACCTGTTATTTCAGTATTTAAAAATTTGCCTCAGAATCGGAACAGAATTCCAGGATCTATGACTCAGTGTAGTGTTATCTGGCATTAGCTTCCTTTTTACTCTCCCTAATGCAGACCGAACAAACACTGGATGTTTTTATTCACGGTAGAAATATTGCAAGTTCAAATTCATGTGTTTTTTTCCAGACTGCAGGAAACGCTGTCAAAAGAGCATCAGACAATCTGGTCAGAGCGGCTCAAAAGGCAGCGTTTGACAAACACGACGAAGAAAATGTTGTGGTCAAAACACGTTTTGTGGGAGGAATTGCTCAGGTTTGTACTGTGGGTACAATTAGTGAAAGAGTTTGGCACCATCTCATAAGGGAATGATATCGTGAGTTGCTTTGTTTTAACCGAGCTGTTTGTGCAAATTTCAATTTGAAATCTATCAATCAATTGGTTTCCTGTTTCAATGTTGAAATCTGCATAGACATATGATGCGCATTTAATCCCACTTGTAAAATTATTGCCTTACTTAAATATTCTTCCAAGATTGATGCAGTGAATTGGACCTTAAGTGCATGCGCTATACACCAAATCCACACCGCTCTCATTTTTGTTGATTACATAGTTGTGGTTGCAGTGATTACATAGTTATGGAGCACAGTGAATTGTGGTGCCAACAAATAACCAGGTGGAATATTTGCGGATAGCTGGTAGAATGGAATACAAGTTTTATTCTGAGTCCTTTTTTCCATCTATTGTGGCCACCAGTTACAATCCTGTCCAGCATAAGTCGAAGGAAATTATCCTCAATACATTTGTCACCACAGTACTCAGTATTATGACCATTCAATCCAACTGTTCTGTTTCACCTATATAAAATGACATACTCCTAGTTGACTTGCAAGTGTGTGTGTGTCCTTTTGTAATACATGTAGAAGGTTGAAGACTGAACTTCAAGGCAAGTGGTCAGGTTACATGTTGATTTTGCTTGCAACATTTTATTTGTAGAGGTAAATTAACAGATTAACGTTTATCTTTGTGCAGATCATTGCAGCACAAGAGGAAATGCTGAGAAAAGAGAAGGAACTGGAGGAAGCCCGTAAGAAGTTAGCGCAGATTCGCCAGCAGCAATATAAATTTCTACCATCAGAACTACGAGAGGATGAAACCTAAAAACAACTTTTTGTACCAAGCTTAGTTCTGTATCAACATATCTAAATACTTTAATAATTTGAGCCACTTCTATTTAGAAACCTTACCGAATTGTATGTAATGGAAGTATACACATTTGCGTAGACTTGATTTTGTAGATTGTAGGGTAGATTACCATAGCTTCCCATGCTCCCGAACCTTGCATGCACTAAATAAATATCAGGGAAGTTTATAGAGCATGTGTAGGGCAAGACAACATGCCTTCTGTACAGCAAAAGAAGTTAATGTACGGAAATTGGTTTGAAGAGATTTCAAGTCTATTGTGCTGGAGTAATGTAGGATAATGAAACAAAAATTATGGACACCCCAGAATAAATAAAAAGGGGAGAATGTCAGTGGAAATAAGATAGGATTTATAAATGTTTTCATTGTAAAAAAAACAAAAAAATTATTTCAACATGGCCTGTACTAATCCAGAGTTCAGTACGGCTGTGTTGCTGGAAAATCAGTTTCCTGTAGGTAAGGGCAAAACCCGTACAAAGCAATGTAATATTACTTGTGTTTTTTAATGTTCAAGTGGTTTTGTGCTTTTACAATCATCGCTCACCATTGGTGCATTTTTTTCCACAGTTCAAATTTGGAAACTGTCAAAAATCGCTGCTTTTTTTTTGCAGTCAGAAAAGCGCAACAAAGATTCCGATCTCTTGAGTTAACTCGAGTAAATTCCAAACTACAGACTTGTGTTTTGTTTCCTATTTTCCGTACTGTTGATTTGAACTTCAAGTGTTTTTTCTTAAGGTTTGGGGACATTACCTTTCGCATGAGCTGCTAGCTGATTCTGCTTTCAGTTTAACTGCAGAATGCTTTACTTTCAGTTAGAAATATTTTAATTTGTCTTTTTGTTGGCTGCAGCATAGTGCCTTAGTTTACAGCACTTAACCACTAAAAGCCATCAGCTGGAATACCCTGAATGCCTGCTGAAAATATATTTAAAATCCTACTCGAAGTCAGTACCACAGGGAATTCCTAATTTAAACTGCAAGCCTTTTCCCTAAATTACCTTGTATGGTGTGTTTTCTCTCTCTCTCTCTCTCTCTCTCTCATTTTAACTAGTATGTGCTGCTGTAAACATACGACTCCTCTTTTTGTATTGCATTCCACAACCCTGTGCCAAGATGCAATTTCAACTCTTAGGAAGACAGATTTTCTTTGGCTCAGCCAGTATCTGTCATCTCAGTAAATTGTTAGTCTGTAGCAGATAGATCAAGAATCTTATGTATAAACATCCATCTGTTAAGTTAAACCACTGAAAGATTTGATTTTTAAAAAAAATAAAACAATCTAATGTATTCAAATTATTAGAGTAAAATGATCTACTATTGTCCTTTTTTTGAATAATTTTTAAGATGGTGTGTTCAAATCAATGCATGCCCTGTAACATTTTATACTCCCTTCGCAAGCTTCATTGGGCTTGCTTGTTGTTTTAGTGTGTCCCAAAACTCAAGCGACATGTACAACTCTGCGATAACCGAATGTAATACTGTATGTAACATAAAGTGCTAATTTATCTGCCCACAAAAGCTATTTTTTGTATTCACAGAAATAAAAGGTTTCAAAGGAAAGCTGATGCTGTATTTTCCCATGACTTGCATGTTCACTGGTCATGTTCTCTAACTTCCTATTGTACTTCCAGACACTGCAGCGGGTCAGTACTTGAATGAGACATTTCATTTTAATACATTTGTCTTGTTTTAAAATTGACTATCGAATGTATCCCGATTTTAATTAATGTATTTTTAAGCTTAGTGCATTGAATAGTAATCCATTCATTTGATGTAGCGCCTTATCACGTCTTCGAGGTGTCACATGAGCTTCACAAGAATATACTGTGAAGCGAGTTGACTAGATTTTGTGAGCCAAACGCAGGAGCCAATTGTGCACAACAGTGTCCCACAAATAGTTGTGGATTCAGTTCCCAAATTATTATTATTTGAAGGGATTATTACCCCGAGAAAAGTGATCCGCCAATTTACTAACAACCGGGTTTCTACTTACTGCTAGGTAAACAGAAGCATGTGGAGTAAGGAAATTTGCCCAATGTTTCGCCCCGCCCGGCAATCGAACCCAGGTTCTCTCACTTGTGAGGAGAGTGCTTTAATCACTAAGCTACAGGACTCCACAAAGCTAGAGTACAACTTGTATTCTGCCAAATATGGTCTCTCTGTGAGTCTGTCTCTGCTGTTTTGATATGCACATGCCTCTGTACCTGTGTAACTGGGTCTTCAAACCTCAGAACAGCTGATACAATAGTTTTCCTTTCTGTGACTCTCTTTCTTTTTACAGGTTTTAGTTGTATTGTGAGAAGCTTGCTACTTACTGTACATTCTTATTTTGACTGCACAGACGTATCGATTTAAAAAATCTTCCAACTCAGCAACTCCATTCTGCTGTACCACAAACCCCAACAGATTTATTTTGTAATGATTATATTTTTCTCTCTCAGTTCACTGTCTTGTTGCTCCAGTGTATAATCTCCGTGATTCAATGTTCCATCTGAAAACAGGTTATGAGAAGTGGATGGTTTAAGTCTTTATTACTGATGAGCAGCTAGATACAAAACCTGCTTTAAGAAATGTGATGCTCCTTATCTTGTCCTGAAAGTGGGGAGCAATATCTGAAGTCATGGGAGAAACGAGTGAATTTACTCCCACCAGTAAGGAGTAAGCATTTCACCTGTGAGAGCCAAGCCATGAGAACTATTGAGAAGAACGTAAGAAATAGGAGCAGGAGTAGGCCATTCGGCCCCTCGAGCCTGACCCGCCATTTAGTAAAATCATGGCTGATCTTCTAACGTAATTCCATTTACCCACCCTATCCCCATATCCCTTAATCCCTTCAGATTTTAAAAATCTTGAACTTGAGATTGAATTTGATGCTATGCTTCCTACTGAGGATTGCATTATTCCTATCGAATTCATCTTCCATTCCTCTTAAGTTCAAAACGCATCATCAAAATAGAATTTGTACGTGACTTTTTATTTTATTCGGGGAGAATCCAGTAGCAGGTTATGTTATAGGTGGGGCTTGACAAGATAATGCTGCTGCCTCTGGCTGGCTCCATTACCCAAGTACAGAGATTAGAGTTAAATCTCCCAATGCTAGAGTAGAATGTAGAGACTTTGAAACTCTGAAAATACTTTGTAATGTAAAACTCACAGGTCATTTGAGCTACCTGTATTTGCTTCACTTAAATTGTGTTAAAGAGAATCTCAGCAAAGTTGATCTTCAGGTGAGAACTGACTAATTTGGGCAAACTTGTGAGGACTCTGTTAAATCCGCTGGTTTGTGAGATGTTAGTAGCAGTGAATAATTTGTACAACGTTTCTGATATCAAAGCAAAGAACAGACATTCATTCACTAACTCTGAACACCAATGACAGAAATACGAACAATCCCGAGCATGTTGGCAGAACTGAATTTCTTCCATGATTGCAGTTGCTTTTGTCACGGCAGACGGCACTCCCAATTCTGTGATGGTAGAAGCAGCTCAGGAATGCTAAGTATTCTCCAGGCTGGATTGTGTCCATAGCAACGCAATCTTGAAAGATGTCTTACAAATTTTGTCGGGCTAAAAACTGCTTTTTCTCCCATGACCTTGAGCATTTCTGTCAGAAGGTCAGCATAATGCTTGCGTAATTTGCCCACTCCACTGATAGCCACGGTAAGTGATTTGGTGAAGCCAGCTCTTCTGAAAACCGTTTAACCATTTAAATTCTAGCATTGCTTGTTGAAGTGTAACCACGCAAGCCAAAATGTTTGTATATTTTAGCATAATCTCTACTATGCAAGATGCGAAGCAATAGTTAATTAGTGTTAGTCACCTCTTTCAATAGGTCCTAAAATCTATATAAAGTATGTGTGTGGAGATTTTCTTTCTGTTACAGACAGTTCTGGAGAGATGTAAACAAGCTCCAGCCTGGAAGGCGGTTAGTCTGACTCACTTGCAATCGATCTGTCTGTGTTGCTCATTTCATCACTTGCTCATTTTGATAACTTTTCATCTGTTGCACGAACAATTAGCTCTTTACTTTCTCCAGTGTGAGACATCAGTCATGCTTTTTTGCCATTGTCTTGCAATAATCCAAAAATGAGTGCTTTTTTTTTCAAACCACCAATGCAGATTAACTCTATATTGCCCACAAAATATAGTCAATTCACTTTACAGTATATTTTGTAAAGAGCTTTGAGATTTCTCAAAGATGTGATAAGGCGCTATATTAAATGCAAGGATTATTATTGACGCAACTAATGATTCATTGCATTGACCAAAGATTTTTTTTCTGCTGCTACTGTACTATGTATATGCATAGAAATTTTAAAATGTTTTTAAAATAAACAAATGCTGGACATATTCCTCTGATGGATGCCAATAGTAATAATAATATTTGCATTTGATATAGCGCCTTATCACATCGTTGGGACAACTCAAAGTGCTTCACGGAATAGACTAAAGTGAATTGATTGTATATTTTGTGGGCAAAATGCAGCAGCCAATTGCGCACTGCAGTGTCCCACAGACAGTTATGGATTGAGTAACCAAATGATTATTTTTTGAAAGGGATATTACCTTCGGAAAGCGATCTACCAATTGACTAACAACCCAGTTCCTCCTTACTGCTAGATAAACAGTAAATAAAGAAACTTGCCCAAGGTTTCGTCCTGTCCGGGAATTGAACCCGGGTCCTCTCGCTTGTGAGTTGAGTGCTCAAACCAATGCAGTACAATACTCCCCAATGCAATTCTTAGCACCCCTGAGCAAAGCCAGGAAAATCCACCAGGGATCCTACTTCTCTCCAATGACCCCTGCTGGAATGTACACGTGTAGGCATCTGAATGCTGAAATTTCCAGTCTACACAGAATGCTCCTGGAAAACAATCCCAAAATAAAATTGGTCATGCATTCCATGGCTGTCTATGGGACATTGCTGTGTGCAAAACTGTCTGCCGCTTTCGCCCACAAAGTGCACAGTTTATCATGTTAAATCCTTTGGGACGTCTTTCCACTGTGAAAGAGTAAACCAAATGCAAGGAATATTATTATAAGTAATATTATTATTAGTAATATTGCCTGAAATGGGATTTATCCGTTATAATCATGCACTGTCAAAGTAAATACAACAGCTACTACACTTTACAAAAAATCCTGTGAAGCGTTTGGGGATTTTCAGACAATGCGATTAGGAGTTGAATCAAATTCAAGGATTATTACTTATTGCGTTAGACGGATCTTAGGAGTTGAATCAAATTCAAGGATTATTACTTATTGCGTTAGACGGATCTCTGCAACAGTTTTTTTTTAAAAAAAGAAAAGAAAGCGACAGAAGCTTGCAGTATTCTGTACGTTCAAACAGTTGGGAAATCAGGTAACTATTGCTGCAGAGACCAGACCCATAGAAGGTCAATACAGGGCATTTTCAATTCATGTGTTCAATCGTGTTGCAGTTCAATTCTTATCCACAAGATGGGGGTTCGAGGTCTGTTCAACTGCAGGATCTCAATCAATAGTTGGTGTTTGGGAGAGCAGCCCTGTGTGATTTCTTGGCTATTACTTGAAACACTGAAATTAAGAATTCCACAGAAGTCCACAAGTTGTTTCCAAGCTTGACCGGGTTTTAAAGAACTACAAAAAAAAAGCTAGACATGACTATACAACAACCACCAGCTGTAATAATGCTTTACTTACTCATGTACTGATCTGTGTGGTGATAGGTCTGAATTGAGATTCTCCATTTAACAATTTAATAATAATCCTTGTGTTTGATATCGTTTCTTCCCCATCAAGAGGACATGTAAAGCTCTTCACGTCATTTACTATAAAGTGTAGTGACTGTGTATGTTGCAGACCAGATGCCGAATCAAAGAATAAAGTTAATAAAAGCAAAGGACAAGATTAATATATTTTGCAGGTACAATTTCAAAACTGATATTGACTGGAATCAGCAACTATCATAGCAGGGCTTAGATGGAAGAAATAACAAATGACTTTCCTGAGAAACCCATGTGTTTTACCTGAAGGTTTCACATATTAATGCATCTTCAATTGAGAGTGTAGTGTGGGTAATGCTGTGAGTATTTTGTTGACAATTGCTTCTACTGCTTTGCCAGGCAGTCTCATCGCCTCTTCTAGCTTTCATTCCTAACTTAATGCTTTTCTTTTGTCTGTAGGAACAGGATCATACGAGACAAGGTGAGATCATTATGGTTCATTGGGCCAGTCCAAATTTCTTTCCTTTACTAAAGAATTCACCTCTCAACCTGGCTCAGAACAGAGTAAATTCTTGTGTGAAGCTACTGGGGAACCCTGAGGCTTAACTGTGACCACCAGCTGCCTCCTTCCTTTCCCACTCCCCTTCCCCCCCAAACCAGCAGCTGTTTAAGACTGAGCACTTCAACCCTCACAAAGAGCTGTTCCACATTGCTCTCTGCTTGAAAGTGACCTTATGGCACAGAGTCTCAAATTCTGTTTGTTTAATTAATACCATATCTAGGTTTTTTTCTGTGTACAATTGGTTCGGATGTGTCCTCTAGCAGGAAGCTACAGCTTTTCACGCGAACTAGTTCG